GGTCGGTGCTCAGTGGGTGAGGATGCTGGTTACAGTAAATGAAAAGACAGGGGGTTTATGGTGTAGGTGTCAGTAACAGCTGAGAAACACTAACTGGAGAGTGAGAGAGAGACAGAGAGAGAGGGATGGGTTGTCCAGACTCTGTTTGAACACTCAACACTCTTGGTTTGACCACCAGCCAACAGAAAGACAAAGAAAACAGTTATGAGCTAAACATAACAGTATGCAAGTGGAAGGGAGGACAGTAGCAGTTGACCTAACTGTGGTTTGTGACTATTATGATTTCCCATTGTAGCCAATTCAGTTGCAGTAATACCGTTACTGATTTTTGGTAATTCCATTAACAATTTGGTAACGGAATTACACATTCTAATCACTTAATAATTCATAAACAAAACTGATATCAGTAAAAACACTATAACTAATTGGTAGGTCTACCTTTACTTGTTACTTCTGTGAACTTTCATTATCCTCCATCCTTATGAGGAAGAGAAATTAGAAAATATCTTAAAGATGTGTGTTTTTGGTAATGGAATTACAAGGCACAAGGCAATATTTCTTAAACTTCCAGCGGGTAAACAATTTCTCCAAAACGATATATAGGCTGTTTTTATTAGTTGGCAGGGGTCTTTACGTCAACATTATTGTGTTTTTATGTATTTCTGATGCCTTTTAAGACTTTTTCTGGTAGATGTTTTCTAAGCCTTTACTAATTACTAATTATGGGAAATGGTTGAAAAATGGATCTATGCCTTCATTTCCCAAACATGTACTCTTAGCTTTCATTTGACACCCAATTTGGTATGCTCCTATCAACTTCACATGTTGGTGCTCATGATGGCTCCTTTTCGATGGAAATGCCCCAAGCCCTCCTTTGATGTACGACAAGGATGAAGACATTTGTGAAATTGTGCTTGTCAATGACATCAGTGAGGGGATCAGAGCAGGTCAATAAACTCATGCAGAAACAAGATTCGATCACCCATGTTTTCCAATGCAATGAATGGAGCAGAAACAAGATTCGATCACCCATGTTTTCCAATGCAATGAATGGATGAGACCTGATTGTCAATCTGCATAGATAAATCCACACACACTGTAAACAAACTTGGCGCAGCTCAAATAACACAGGATATGACTAGCTACGCTGAACAAAAATATAAACGCAACATGTAGTGTTGGTCCCATGTTTCATGAGCTGAAATACAAATTCCCAGAAATGTTCCATACGCAAAAAAAGCTTATTTCAAAAAAAAATATCCCCACACATTTGTTTACATCGCTGTTAGTAAGCATTTCTCCTTTGCCAAGATAATCCATCCACCTGGCAGGTGTGGCATATCAAGAAGCTGATTAAACTGCATTATCATTACACAGGTGCACCTTATGCTGGGGACAATAAAAGACCACTTTAAAATATGCAGTTTTGTCACACAACACAATGCCACTGATGTCTCAAGTTCTGAGGGAGCTCGCAATTGGCATGCTGACTGCAGGAATGTCCACCAGAGCTGTTGCCAGAGAATTGAATGTTCATTTCTCTACCATAAGCTGCATCCAACGCCATTTTAGAGAATTTGGCAATACATCCATCCAGCCTCACAACCACAGACCACATGTAACCACGTCAGCCAGGACCTCCACATCTGGCTTCTTCACCTGTGGGATGGGGGGATGGCTGAGGAGTATTTCTGTCTGTAAAAAGCCCTTTTGTGGGAAGAAACTCATTCTGATTGGCTGGGCCTGGCTCCCCAGTGGGTGGGCCCGGTCAAGTAGGTGGGCCTATGCCTTCCAAGGCCCTCACATGGCTGCACCCCTGCCTAGTCATGTGAAATCCATAGATTAGGGCCTAATGAATTTATTTCAATTGACTGATTTCCTTATATGAACTGTAACTCAGTAAAATCTTTGAAATTGTTGCATGTTGCGTCTATTTTTGTTTAGTAATAGTTAGCTACTGTAATAGCTAAGTGGCTATAAAGAAACAATGCTTTGTAGTCCAAGGTTAGGCTACTAGCTAATGGAAATGACATTAACACACTAATTACTGGACAATTGCTACCGGTTGCAGTGGCTAGCTAGTTAGCGCAGTGTTATTGGCAGAAGCTGAATACATTACAGTAACAATCACGCAAACTAGCAGCCCAATTCAACATCGAGCTAGTTCCTCCTTCTTGACAGTAAGAGGCGTGTACTGTCGATTCCTTTGTTTATATATTGAGGCCACATCCTCGTGGTTTCATCCAAATGGGTTTTAAATGCTATTTCAAATGTTAGGGACAGATTTGTCCATGTGTTATTTCGTCCTCTCTCTGTCGCTGTCACTTGCTCTCCTGTGTGATGATGCGGTTCTGCAGGAGAGGTATTGAGCAGGATAACTATACATTCTAGATCGGCTCAAAACACACCACTCATGACAGTGCAGCTTTCTTTAAATGATCCCGTCACTAAACCCACGACCTCCATGATGTTACTGGGAAAAAAGCAGAGGCACAATTTCTGATACGATGTGTTATTCTTACCTGCTCGTCGAATCTACTAATTACGGCCTGAACCCATTCCACGGGTTTATGCGCCGCCATGGCCGGCCGGGTGCGAGCCGCGATGGGCCACTTGAATTCTCCGTATAAATAATGATTCCTTTGCTGTTTGCAACCAGTTAATAGTCAAATTCCGATGTTGATGGGGTTATTTTTCTTTCTTTAATCAGACACACCACAATGTCCCCATGACAGAACCGGAAGTTTCAATCCTCCTTCTCAATGAACGGTCGTCTTTAGTTACCCCAGCCACAAAGTCATAATTATGGATAAACCCCGCCTATGTCTACAAAAAAAAATCTTTGAATCTGGTTTTAAACCTAAGCCTAACCTTAACCACACGGCTAACCTTATGCTTAACCTTAACCTTACATTAAGACCAAAAAGCGAATTTTTGTTTTCATGAATTGCTACGATATAGCCATTTTGACTTTGTGCCTGTGGTAACTAGTGACAACCTCAATGAAGCTGGCACTGGTGCTGTTTTGAGGAGCAGCTACTGCGCGTGCGTTGCAAGAATCTTTGCGACGTCCAGTATGAATACAAAAAACGGGGCATTGGACCAATGCCGTGTGTTTTCATCAATGACAGGCTTTAGATAACAAACTGGTGATGTCACACTGCCTTCGGATTTTAGAGACAGAAGAAACAGAACCATAAACATTTTGCAGTTACATGAAAACAAAATGCATAATAACAGTAGCTAGATAAGATAGCAATCCCTTATAGTGTAGGCCTACATCATCACTTGACACTTGTACAATATGATAGGACTCCAGTCCTTCATCTGGCAATATGTGCTGGTATTCTAAACTGTAATGTAACAATTTCTTCTTGTCCCTCCTTTCCCTTTTCTCTCAAGCAAGAATTCAATGTTCATATTTAAGAAAGTAAGCCTATATAAACGGCTTACCTATAAATGATATCTTAGCAGATTGTCCCTTTGAAAAATAACAATATAAATAGACCCTACAGGCTGCTATTTGTGAATGTGTCTGTGGGGTGAATGTGTCTGTTACTATGTCAAAGCAAAAGACAGATTTGCTCTGACATACCATTTTTATTGCCACACTGTGTATAGCAGGGATCATCAACTAGATATTGCCGCCGGACGATTTTTTCTTGAGCGGATGTTCGGGGGGCCGGAACATAATTACAAAAAATGTGTAGACTGCAAATTGACCGCAAGATGTCCAAACATATATAATATTTAACTAAAACATAATAATTTCAAACCTTGCTTACATTTGTATACGGTCGCGTGTCTCTCTCTGTTATGCGTGGAATACTTGGGAACAGATTTCCAAAATTGAAATTACTTGGAGCTGATTTCCTGGTGTTTTTCAGTCTTTTATGTTAAACAAAAAAAGAGTTAAAACATAAATAAAAAATATTACAGAAAACTTGGGGGGCCAGATAAAACCCCGGGGGAACCCTGGTGTATAAGATATCAGTCCTAATGTACTTACATTTGTCATCCACATTTGTTGACATGTAATGTTGCCATGCTTTGACCCTGTGCCCTGTGCCATTTAGGTCACCTCAGAAAGAATTTCAAATCACATGCTGCAAAATGAACTAATTTCATTAATCTAAAGAATGTTGAACAGGCATATTTTTTTTTATGAAAACCCACCTTGTGCAGCACTGGTCTACATCATGTTGGTACAACCAGGCATTCATGGGTGGCTCCAGAGAGGGGCAAGACAGTGCTGAAGCCCCCTCAAGAATAGGCCTAGCACTCCCATTAGCACCAAGAAATACCAATAGCCAATAGCCTAACTGACCTCTGATTGCTGATGGCTTCAGACTGACCCGCTTATTTGTAGCAGCAAGTGAGGTGAATCGGTAGGTGAGTATCAGTTCATACATCCCGATTCCCAGCCAAAGCAATCTGTCGACCGGTCTACTAGCCTACTTCTAACCACTGGAACTCCCAGAGTGCACAGTCATTCGAATGCACTTCATATAATTATAATGATTCACAACACCGATCATGTCATCAGTATTTACTTTGTGAAAATCCATAGAATGCTTTTAATATCAAATCTGAACCTTCCCACTACAATCTAAAACAGGACCAAGTTATTAATTTTATCAGAACCTCTCTGCCCCCTTGTGGTGATGTAGAATTATGACAACTTCTTAGTTCCAATATATTGCTGTTTATTTGCTGTGGAAACATTGTTGTGACAGAGAGTACAGACATACAGTAGGCATCAAGAAACTGTCTGGAATAGGATCAATAGAAGATAATATTTCCTATAGTCTTACTCTACATTAAATTGTTTATGGAAGAGAGAAATGTTGATTAAAACGTCTCGCCATCAGCAACAGAGTAAAATGCGACAGTTTTTCAACACACAAGACACATAAGACATGATTTCACATTGGTCCCTATAATGCCCTGACTGATCAGATCCTACTATCGCTGACCTTTGACCTCGGAGGGTGTGTAACTCAGACCAGCACAGTGGACAGGCTCACGTCCCCCTCCACCTCCAGGATGTCAATCTGCTGGAACAGGAAGTGGCGGTGGTTGTAGCTGAACATCTGGGCTCCATTCACTATCACCCTGTAGCACTGGGTATCACACATGATGGTCACCTGAAACACAGAGCCTGACATGAGTGCCGAGTTCATCCAAGGAAAAGCATACGGTGTCATTGCAGCTAAAACACATTCAGATGCATTTTAGCTGAAATTGTTGTCAATGCACAACACGTGCAAATATACGTTAAAATATAGCTACTTGTTCCATCCTAGAGTATGCAGTCAGCTATAATGGAGTTTATACCGTAAAAGGCTGGCCTCTGTAGAAGGGCATGCCCCCTGTCCTTTCCTCTGGACCCCACTGTTCCTTCAGGAGACTGTTACGAACTACAACGTTCTCATTGAACCTGGGGTTGAAGTGGAGCGCCACCCCCGAGTTGAAACGCAGGTTGACACAGAACCTAGAACCACAGCAACCATAATCATGGTTATAAGGCTTGACCAGGAATGTCAAGTTAGATTACCCATTAAGGTGTACAGAGGTAACCAGTTTATAATAGCAATAAGGCACCTCCGGGTTTTGTGGTATATGGCCAATATACAACGGCTAAGGGCTGTATCAAGGCACTCCGCGTTGCGTCGTACGTAAGAACAGCCCTTAGCCGTGGTATATTGGCCATATACCACACCCCCTCTGGTCTTATTGCTTAAATATACCACGGCTAAGGGCTGTTCTTATGCACGATGCGAAGCAGAGTGCCTGGATACAGCCCTTAGCCGTGGTGTATTGGCCATATACCACAAACCCGAGGTGTCTTATTGCTATTATAAACTGGGTACTAACATAAATAGAACAGTAAACAAGTATTTGTGCCTCATACCCGTGGTATACTGTCTGATATAAACAAGGCTGAAATGCTGTTTTAGCCAATCCGCATCCAGGACCCAAACAACCTGGCTCATAATACAGTATAGCTCTGTAATGTACTGTTTGTAGAGAGGGAAAACTTTTCTGGACTCTGCTGGTGAGTGTTACACAATCGTGAAATAAATAGAGTTTGTTATGAAAATAATTTGGAGGGTGACAGGCTAATCTAAAGAGGACCTTTTTCCTTATGATTCATTTGTATTGTCTGTAATGTACAGGTACACCATTCATAGTACCAACTCTGACCCATAGCAGGTGAAGCAAATTAATTATGTAAGATGTGCTCAAATTGAGTATTTGGTATTTTTGGTATTTTATTAGGATCCCCATTAGCTGTTGCAAAAGCAGCAGCTACTCTTCCTGGGGTCCACACAAAACATGAAACATGACATAATACAGGACATTAATAGACAAGAACAGCTCAAACACAGAACTACATACATAAAAAAAAAGGCACAAGTAGCCTACATATCAATACATACACACAAACTTCTAGGTCAAATGAAGCAGCAAGAACTTACTTATCAGCATTGTGGTTAACCACACCCTGGATCGTGATGTTTCTGCCTGGGTAAAGTCCACCTGCCATGATGTTTTTATACGGCACAACCTGAGGACAAAGGATCCATAACATCACCATGTCAACCCAATAATCTGTTTCGATAAATTAATGTAATTATGCAGTCTGCACTTAGTCTGTAGGTTAAAGAAGGGGAGCTTACAAAGGACGGCTGTGGGGTGTATGGAGGTTGGGCGGTGTATGGAGGGGGTGCCTATAAAATAAACATTATACAACACCATATGAAGAATAGCGCCTTTTCAGCACAGTCTCTACTAAAAACGACTTTAATCTTGTCAGAACTTTTTTCTTAACATTCATTTATATAGATACAAAATTATCAAACTCCAATGCAATTCCTGATAATGGCCTCTACTCTACACATTTTAAACTCTGAAAAGTTGATTATTTGGAATGCAACTGACCTGAATAAATCCTGCAGCTGAGAAAGCCTACAAAACAGACAAACAGTTGTCAAATATATATCAACCTTAACAAGGAAAGCAAGCAAGATCTACCCTCAAAGCTAACGTTGATTGAATGGAATGAAATGCAGTCATGCAGTCACCTTATGAAAACAACCACCACCAGAAAAAAAGCTAAATACACCAAATTAGCTGTCAACCCAGTATGATCTAATCTACCTGTGTGGTGTTACACCATTGAGGAGGAGATTTGGGGCCAGTTTTGCTTTGACGAGATCTATTTCGGTTTCGTTGACCCTGTAAATAAATTGTACATCTTGGATTATGGCCTATGCTACTGTTTTGTGAAACCAGATATGTAGTACTGGGATTATTACTAATTATAAGTGTTTCCATACAACTGCAGACCTTATTCTTGATGTAACTCCAAATATATACAGTAGGGAGAACAAGTATTTGATACACTGCCGATTTTGCAGGTTTTCCTACTTACAAAGCATGTAGAGGTCTGTAATTTTTATCATAGGTACACTTCAACTGTGAGAGACGGAATCTAAAACAAAAATCCAGAAAATCACATTGTATGATTTTTAAGTAATTAATTTGCATTTTATTGCATGACATAAGTATTTGATCACCTACCAACCAGTAAGAATTCCGGCTCTCACAGACCTGTTAGTTTTTCTTTAAGAAGCCCTCCTGTTCTCCACTCATTACCTGTATTAAATGCACCTGTTTGAACTAGTTACCTGTATAAAAGACACCTGTCCACACACTCAATCAAACAGACTCCAACCTCTCCACAATGGCCAAGACCAGAGAGCTGTGTAAGGACATCAGGGATAAAATTGTAGACCTGCACAAGGCTGGGCTGGGATGGGCTACAGGACAATAGGCAAGCAGCTTGGTGAGAAGGCAATAACTGTTGGCGCAATTATTAGAAAATGGAAGAAGTTCAAGATGACGGTCAATCACCCTCGGTCTGGGGCTCCATGCAAGATCTGACCTCGGAAGGTGAGGGATCAGCCTAGAACTACAAGGCAGGACCTGGTCAATGATCTGAAGAGAGCTGGGACCACAGTCTCAAAGAAAACCATTAGTAACACACTACGCCGTCATGGATTAAAATCCTGCAGCGCACGCAAGGTCCCCCTGCTCAAGCCAGCGCATGTCCAGGCCCGTCTGAAGTTTGCCAATGACCATCTGGATGATCCAAAGGAGGAATGGGAGAAGGTCATGTGGTCTGATGTATCAAAAATAGAGCTTTTTGGTCTAAACTCGCTGTGTTTGGAGGAAGAAGAAGGATGAGTACAACCCCAAGAACACCATCCCAACCGTGAAGCATGGAGGTGGAAACATCCTTCTTTGGGGATGCTTTTCTGCAAAGGGGACAGGACGACTGCACCGTATTGAGGGGTGGATGGATGGGGCCATGTATCGCAAGATCTTGGCCAACAACCTCCTTCCCTCAGTAAGAGCATTGAAGATGGGTCGTGGCTGGGTCTTCCAGCATGACAACGACCCGAAACACACAGCCAGGGCAACTAAGGAGTGGCTCCGTAAGAAACATCTTAAGGTCCTGGAGTGGCCTAGCCAGTCTCCAGACCTGAACCAAATAGAAAATCTTTGGAGGGAGCTGAAAGTCCGTATTGCCCAGCGACAGCCCCGAAACCTGAAGGATCTGGAGAAGGTCTGTATGGAGGAGTGGGCCAAAATCCCTGCTGCAGTGTGTGCAAACCTGGTCAAGACCTACAGGAAACGTATTATATCTGTAATTGCAAACAAAGGTTTCTGTAACAAATATTAAGTTCTGCTTTTCTGATGTATCAAATACTTATGTCATGCAATAAAATGCAAATTAATTACTTAAAAATCATACAATGTGATTTTCTGGATTTTTGTTTTAGATTCCGTCTCTCACAGTTGAAGTGTACCTATGATAAAAATTACAGACCTCTACATGCTTTGTAAGTAGGAAAACCTGCAAAATCGGCAGTGTATCAAATACTTGTTCTCCCCACTGTATATTTTTTAAACTATAACTATGAATCCTGTTCATGAGTCTGTCTGTCATATGAAGAATACTCACACAGTGGGTCTGGCCAAGATATCCTGGTTGGGGAGGAGGTGACTGGAGAAAAGACAGGACATCACATTTCACATATGAACAGACTCTCTTGGTCAGCACATGCAAGTCTGAATAATAACAATAATAATGATAATAACTTCATTTGTATAGCGCTTTCAATACAGGTAACAAAGTGCTTCACATCATAAAATAAAAGTACTAACAAAGAAACAAAGACGGGAGGAAGGACAATGAAAAAAGATAGCTAATTAAAATCATACATTAAAAGCATCTTTATAAAAGTGTGTCTTCAGCAGGGATTTAAAAAGAGGCACTGAATCTGCAAGCCTGATCTCCTATGGCTGACCATTCCAAAGTCTACATGGGCTTAAAAAAAAGAAGACACCTGTACCATGTCAGATATAGAGTTCAAATGTATTATATTTTGAGTTTGCATCCCAATATTATACTTAATATACATCACAGAAGACTGAAATATAACAAATCCGTTTGACAAAGAAACACTGGATTTTCGGCTGGTTTTTTAAATAATGTTTATTCATTATGAAATTATGAAAAATATTAATAGCATTCCACCCATGAGGCCACTAGGTGATTTCACTGCAGGAAAGGGCTACAGTTGGGAACTGAGGGAACTAAGTTTTTCTGGATGCTAAAAATATGTTTAAAACATCCTTTTACAATCATTATACTACCTGACCATGACCGTTGCAACCAGTTTTGCCCACTGGGTTGCATTCCAAACAACTGATTAAGATGAGCAAATCTATCCAGTTGCTTGCTCAAGGCTGATCCTACTGAACGGAAAATTTACTATATTCTCCCAGGAAGAGGACCTGTCAGATACTCACGGTGACTGCAGGGTTGGAGAAGGCAATAGATTGAACCTCCACTCCCCCATCCACAGAGATGGTGTCCACTCTGGAGAATGACAGCCGGTGCAGGTACTCCATGAAGTGGGCACCATTCACAATCATCTAGGATAAGACAGGATTTAGGACAGACAAAAAATAAAAAAGATATAATATTTAAATATTATAATATAATAATAATAATAATATATGCCATTTAGCAGACACTTTTATCCAAAGTGACTTACAGTTATGCATGCATACATTCTACATACAGTATGGGTGGCTCCAGTGGGAAACCAATGGCACATGGAGAATAAATGCTCTAGAGATAAGATTCAATTCAATAAGTCCACAGTAAAAAAAACTGCTCTAGAGATAAGGTTCATTCAATAGGTCCACATTCAAAAAACGTTGTAGCCTAAGCATCAGTAATAAAAAACTCCTGACCGAATATGAATCTCGGTTGACCAGGAACATGAGGGTAAAGTTGGCACCCCGGGTCATGGGTGCAGGGTATTCACGCTCCTCTGAGCCCCACTTGGAGTGTTGCATGGTGTTGCAGATCACAACGTCTAGGAAGCCGTCATATCGGGGGTTGAAGTGGAGGGCTATGTCAGGATTTCCTCTTGAGCCACATTGCAAATTCACATGAAACCTATACGGACAGAAGAAAGGCGCATATTATATTTTGATGTACAATTAATTAAGATCTATGCACACACTACTGTAAGTTGCTCTTGATAAGAGTGTCTGCTAAAATGTAAACGTTGCACCCAATGATTAGGTTAAACAAGATCCCTCCTGTGCTTATAGTGAGTGACAAGACTGTGTTAAAGGAGAGTTGTCAGTAGGTAGGTCTACCTCTGGGCTCCTGGCAGGACTCTCCCTGTCACAGTGATGGTCTTCCCCTCATGCAGAGCTCCCTGGATACAGCCAGTGAATGGCACTCTCTAGGGGCACAGAGCACAAAACAACACGTGACAAGGGCTGAGTAGCTAGTCTCGTTCACCATCTGTTAAGAGCCAGGCAGGTAGTGTTCCTGGCAAGGCTAGGGACTTGGCAAATAGAGACTTTAAGCTTTCACAATGGCCACATCAAGCATTTTCTAACCAATAACAATCTAAAATGTTATGGTTTCCTTTCTTCTTTCCTTCCCTAGTCAAAAAATAATTTAGGATGAGTGATATTTCCAATAGAATCCTATAGGATTTTGTGTCACCTCTATCAGAATCCTATCTGAATCCTATTGGACTACTTTTTCGTATTGGAAATTAATCTTATTGGATCCTATAGGTTTTTGATAACTCTTGTAGAATTTTGTCACCACAATCAGAATCCTATTAGAACTAAATTATAATTTGTTGTAATTTGTTCCAGTACAATACAACAACATTAATTAGAACATTTTCGTTGATTGGAAACAACAGTTTCGGTTTTATTCACCACCACAATATGGGAGTGATTCAAAGCTGCAAGTTCAGTTGCAGTATGACCACCATACACTACACCTTTTTCAACAAAACACTCACTTGAGTTATTTGATTTGATTCTTATTCATGCAACTTATTGTCTTTGAATTAGAAAACATTACAATATGACATACAATACTATATACAATGTTACAATAACACAAGATTTTGGGGGGGTGTTCCCCTTAGAAAGCACAACATTTTTAAATTACATATATATAAATAAAAGGAAAATAAATTTTTAGGTACAGTAACACAAAGGTATGAGCATTTCTTTAATTTAATATATAATAGTCAGCTTTGCATACAAAAAAGAGCATGTTCCCTTTACCCTCTTTACGTTCAGATAGAGAGAGGAAAATAAAGATAATGAGACCCTCCAACTCCTCCCAGGGTTGTACCCCCTCCCATGCCTCCCTCCCACCAAAGCTGTCCCCCCCACCCTACCGCCATCCCTAGAAGGTGCTCCCTCCTCATCTTCCCTATCTCCCTCCTGGAAGTCCCACTCCACAAATTTCTTGTTAACAAACTATAGTTTTGGCAAGTCGGTTAGGACATCTACTTTGTGCATGACACAAGTAATTTTTCCAACAATTGTTTACAGGCAGATTATTTCACTTATAATTCACTGTATCACAATTCCAGTGGGTCAGAAGTTTACATACACTAAGTTGACTGTGCCTTTAAACAGCTTGGAAAAATTCCAGAAAATGATGTCATGGCTTTAGAAGCTTCTGATAGGCTAATTGACATAATTTGAGTCAATTGGAGGTGTACCTGTGGATGTATTTCAAGGCCTACCATCAAACGCAGTGCCTCTTTGCTTGACATCATGGGAAAATCAAAATCAATCAGCCAAGACCTCCGAAAAAACATTGTAGACCACAACTCTGATTCATCCTTGAGAGCAATTTCCAAATGCCTGAAGGTACCACGTTCATCTGTACAAACAATAGTATGCAAGTATAAACACCATGGGACCACGCAGCCGTCATACCGCTCAGGAATGAGACGCGTTCTGTCTCCTAGAGATGAACGTACTTTGGTGCGAAAAGTGCAAATCAATCCCAGAACAACAGCAAATGACCTTGTGAAGATGCTGGAGGAAACAGGTACAAAAGTCACTGCTCCAAAACCGCCATAAAAAAGCCAGACTACGGTTTGCAACTGCACATGGGGACAAAGATCGTACTTTTTGGAGAAATGTCCTCTGGTCTGATGAAACAAAAATATAACTATTTGGCCATAATGACCATCGTTATGTTTGGAGGAAAAAGGGGGTTGCTTGCAAGCCGAAGAACACCACCCCAACAGTGAAGCACGGGGGTGGCAGCATCATGCAGTGGGGGTGCTTTGCTGCAGGAGGGACCGGTGCACTTCACAAAATAGATGGCATCATAAGGAAGGAAAATTATGTGGATATATTGAAGCAACATCTCAAGACGTCAGTCAGGAAGTTAAAGCTTGATCGCAAATGGGTCTTCCAAATGGACAATGACCCCAAGCATACTTCCAAAGTTGTGGCAAAATGGCTTAAGGAGAACAAAGTCAAGGTATTGGAGTGGCCATCACAAAGCCCTGACCTCAATCCTATAGAACATTTGTGGGCAGAACTGAAAAAGCGTGTGCGAGCAAGGAGGCCTACAAACCTGACTCAGTTACACCAGCTCTGTCAGGTGGAATGGGCCAAAATTCACCCAACTTATTGTGGGAAGCTTGTGGAAGGCTACCCAAAACGTTTGACCTAAATTAAACAATTTAAAGGCAATGCTACCAAATACTAATTGAGTGTATGTAAACTTCTGACCCACTGGGAATGTGATGAAAGAAATAAAAGCTGAAATAAATAATTCTCTCTACTATTATTCTGACATTTCACATTCTTAAAACAAAGTGGTGATCCTAACTGACCTAAGACAGGGAATGTTTACTAGGATTAAATGTCAGGAATTGTGAAAACTGAGTTTAAATGTATTTGGCTAAGGTGTATGTAAACATCCGACTTCAACTGTAACTACCAGTTCCCATCTAGTGACCTCTTGGCACAACTGATCCAGGTATTGTAAAATATATATATATATAATGACCTGTGTCATTGTCACGCCCTGACCTTAGAGATCACCTGTTTTCTCTGTTTGGTTAGGTCAGGGTGTGATTTGGATAGAATCTACTTTATTCATATGCCATTTAGTTTATTCTATTTCTATGTTGGCCGGGTGTGGGTCCCAATCAGAGGCAGCTGTCGATCGTTGTCTCTGATTGGGGATCTACTTAGGCAGCCATTTTGCGTACCTTTAGTTGTGGGATCTTGTTTCTGTTTCTGTTTCCTCTTGAACTTCACGTTCTGTTGGATTAATAATAAACGACTATGTACGCATACCACGCTGCACCTTGGTCCGATCCTTTACACAACGAACGTGACAGTCATTAAAGGGACATTTCTAAAATGGTCATCTTCATATTCATAATCTCCAGCACCACCCCAACATCAACATATGTGAAAATGGCGTGTTTCTACAGTACCAGTCAAACGTTTGGACACACCTACTCATTCAAGGGTTATTCTTTATTTTTATTATTTTCTACATTGTAGAATAATAGTGAAGACATCACAACTATGAAATAACACATATGGAATCATGTAGTAACCAAAAAAGTGTTAAATAAATAAAAATATATTTGAGATTTGAGATTCTTCAAATAGCCACCCCTTGCCTTGATGACAGCTTTGCACACTCTTAGCATTCTCTCAACCAGCTTCACCTGGAATGCTTTTCCAACAGTCTTGAAGGAGTTCCCACATATGCTGAGCACTTGTTGGCTGCTTTTCCTTCACTCTGCCGTCCGACTCATCCCAAACCATCTCAATTGGGTTGAGGTCGGGGGATTGTGGAGGCCAGGTCATCTGATGCTGTGACGAGGTGTGAATGAAATACCGAAGTCCAGAGTTTATTCAGTTTACATAAATCAAACGCCCCAAGCGTCAAACAAAACTATTACAAGGGAAAACATCCAACTTGGCAGAAACACAGTGAAGAGTAGCTCAACCGAGCTACACGCTCTCACAACAAACAATCACTCACAAAGACAAGGGGAACAGAGGGAACACTTATACACATACTAATTAGGGGAATGAGCACCAGGTGTGTGTGATTGACAAGACATGACAAGTGGAGTGATGAGAATGGGATCGGCAGTAGCTAGTACTCCGGTGACGACGAACGCCGAAGTCTGCCCGAACCAGGAGTGGGGGCAGCCTCGGCGGAAGTCGTGACAGATGCAGCACTCCATCACTCTCCATCTTGGTAAAATAGCCCATACACAGCCTGGAGGTGTGTTGGGTCATTGTCCTGTTGAAAAACAAATGATAGCTAAGCCCAAACCAGATGGGTTGGCGTGGTAGCCATGCTGGTTAAGTGTGCCTTGAATTCTAAATAAATCACAGACAGTGTCACCTGCAAAGCACCCCCACACCATAACACCTCCTCCTCCATGCTTTACAGTGGGAACCACACATGCAGAGATCATCCGTTCACCCACACCACGTCTCACAAAGACACAGCGGTTGGAACTAAAAATCTCAAATTTGGACTCCAGACCAAAGGACAAATTTCCACTGGTCTAATGTCCATTGCTCGTGTTTCCTGGCCCAAGCAGGTCTCTTTTTCTTATTGGTGTCCTTTAGTAGTGGTTTCTTTGCAGCAATTCGACCATGAAGGCCTGATTCACACAGTCCCCTCTGAACAGTTGATGTTGAGATGTGTCTGTGACTTGAACACTGTGAAGCATTTATTTGGGCTGCAATTTCTGAGGCTGGTAACTCTAATGAACTTATCCTCTGCAGCAGAGGTAACTCTGGGTCTTCCATTCCTGTGGCGGTCCTCATGAGAGCCAGTTAGCACATCATAGTGCTTGATGGTTTTTGCGACTGCACTTGAAGAAAGTTATTGAAATTTTACGGATTGACTGACCTTCATGTTTTAAAGTAATGATGGACTGTCGTTTGTCTTTACTTATTTGAGCTGTTCTTGCCATAATATGGACTTGGTCTTTTACCAAATAGGGCTATCTTCTGTATACCCCCCCTACCTTGTCACAACACAACTGATTGGCTGAAACGCATTAAGAAGGAAAGAAATTCCACAAATTAACTTTTAAGAAGGCACACCTGTTAATTGAAATGCATTCCTGGTGACTACCTCATGAAGCTGGTTGAGAGAATGCCAATAGTGTGCAAAGCTGTCATCAAGGCAAAGGGTGGCTGTTTGAAGAATCTCAAATATACGTTGATTTGTTTAAAAAAAAAATTGGTTCCTACATGATTCCATATTTGTTATTTCATAGTTTTGATGTCTTCACTATTATTCTACAATGTAAAAATAGTCAAAATAAAGAAAAACCCTTGAATGAGTAGGTGTGTCCAAACCTTTGACTGGTAGTGTATGTTTTGTGGAAAAAAAGATAGAGGAAGATAAGTGTTTCCAATTACATCATCAACCAATTAGTAGGCAATGCCTGCTCATAATTGGTTAAAATCACCAGGCACACCGATGATGTCATTGGAAACGCTTATCTTCCTCAATTTTGCTGCACAGCAGGAAATGCAAAATTGTAGTGTATTTGAGTTTTGAAAGACTTCTAAAGTTTGTAATTTCAACTCCTACAAAAATCAAAAATAATTCACATTTTCTGTTGCTGCAGGATTATTTTCCTGCTGTAGCAAATTCACATATGTCCACTGTCCCCTTTCATAAGTAATTGTCTAATCCAATTACAATCCAATATAAAAATCCTATAAGATTTTCAGAACCAGTCCTATTGGACTACTATAGGATTCTATCCTATAGGATTTTTTTATTGAATTTCTTCATTCATTCTATCAATCACTTACGTATTTACATGTCAAAGGTGGTTATGCAAATGTCAGGATATTTACATTTACATTTACATTTACGTCATTTAGCAGACGCTCTTATCCAGACCTGTTCAATGTTTTTCAGTCCTGTTCCTGTGGGACCCATTTCTATTCTAGTCCCCTGAACTCATCACTAACAGACTCATTACACCTACTTTTAGTTGCGTCGCATGTGCTAGTGCTGGGCTAGAAGAAAAATTAGCAACTCTGTGGGTACAGAATAGAAAAATATTGTGGAAAATTACACCAAAAATAAGTAACAAAATGACACCCAAAACTCACATACAACGGGGCCTGATGAAATAAATGATGTGAATAATGTCATAGTATAATTCTTACCGGATTGAAGAAGGGTTGCTGAAAAGCCATGTTTCAGTGTTGCTCTGATCTGTCTGTTCGACTGTTTGGTGAATCTATAGAGCGCAGCACGTAGACGTGATCTGGCTCTCCTCAGTAAAGCTGCAATATCACTTTTTGGGCGACCCGACCAAATTCACATAGAAATGTGAGTTATAGATCTGTCATTCTCATTGAAAGCAAGTCTAAGAAGCGGTAGATCTGTTGTTCTATGTGCGCTAGTTATATATTTATATATTTTACTTTCAGTTTTGTACACCAGCTTCAAACAGCTGAAAATGCAATATTTTTGGTTATGGAAAATGTATTTCACTGGGATGGTACAATGATTCTCTACAATATACTTGCTTGCTTTGTCAATAAACTGAAATTAGGCAAACTATTAGAAAAGCAACTAGGAAATGACGGAGCGATTTCTGCATAGCGCACCGTAAGTTTCGTTTCTCATAAATGCCTCCATTGTTTACTTACACAAACGAAAACGGTGACCTTCAGATAAGAGAGCTACGTCAATGAAAATGCGCTGAAGCGCCAGTAGCACACCTTTTACATCAAGTAGCCTACAACTTTGCTGACTGATTCCCATTAACTTACCATTTTGAAATGGTTTAGTTTTCTTGTATCCTTCCAATTATTACTTTCACTAAGTCACTAGGATCAGAGGTATTTAGGGAAAAGCATTGCAGCAAATCTGTAGTGAATAGTAAAGGGCACCACACAGCATACCTGGCTACCCAAGTGCCTATTTGACACCTAACATTTTTGGACAGTCCTGGGCCTCTTTAGTCTAACGAGCCCACTCTGGAACTTGCATGTCCTCTTTGGTGACCCTAGATTAGAACCTGCATGGCCTCTTTGCACATCACAGCCTCAGCACCACATCCTAGGTGTTACGAATTCAATGCTGGTGACTGTTATCAGAACCTCACAACCCTGAGCTGCACTCTCCACTCCCCATCCCCTACAACAGGAGCCTGAGAGTCTAGGGGGGTACCATAAACCTGCCTCTCAAACTCTCTATGACCGTGTGACCTGTGCCCTGATAGGTTGCTAGGGAAGTTACTAGGGGGCCGGATATAAGCTCCTGAGTGGCGCAGTGGTCTAAGGCACTGCATCGCAGTGCTAACTGTGCCACTAGAGATCCTGGTTCGAATCCAGGCTCTGTCGCAGCCGGCCGCGACCGGGAGACTCATGGGCGGCGCACAATTGGCCCAGCGTCGTCCAGGGTAGGGGAGGGAATGGCCGGCAGGGATGTAGCTCAGTTGATAGAGCATGGCGTTTGCAACGCCAGGGTTGCGGGTTCGATTCCCACGGGGGGCCAGTATAAAAAAAGATGTATTCACTAACTGTAAGTCGCTCTGGATAAGAGCGTCTGCTAAATGACTAAAATGTAATGTAAATGTAAATATCTGCCTATCCTCTTGACTCTGCAGGTCACACAATACTTGCAGTCTCCCTCAAGCAGTGCAGAGAGCAACATCTCTGTCTCTGCCCCTCAACAACTGGAAGGGTGGCTATTTGAAGAATCTCAAATCTAAAATATATGTTGATTTGTTTAACACTTTTTTGGTTACTACATGATTCCATATTTGTTATTTCATAGTTTTGATGTCTTCACTATTATTCTACAATGTAAAAATAGTAAAAAATAAAGAAAAACCCTTGAATGAGTAGGTGTGTCCAAACCTTTGACTGGTAGTGTATGTTTTGTGGAAAAAAAGATAGAGGAAGATAAGTGTTTCCAATGACATCATCAACCAATTAGTAGGCAATGCCTGCTCATAATTGGTTAAAATCACCAGGCACACCGATGATGTCATTGGAAAGCGTATTTTCCTCAATTTTGCTGCACAGCAGGAAATGCAAACTTGTAGTGTATTTGAGTTTTAAAAGGCTTCTAAAGTTAGTAATTTCCACTTTGAAAATTCAGACTTGATTTGCCTTAACGAAAAATGGATCAACTCCTACAAAAATAAAAAATAATTCACATTTTCTGTTGCTGCAGGATTATTTTCCTGCTGTAGCAAATTAGCTACAATTAAGATCCTACGTCTGTAGGGTCAGGATCACGTGGCAATAAATTATTATAGTTCACATATTTCCACTGTCCCCTTTCATATGTAATTGTCTAATCCAATTACAATCCAATATAAAAATCCTATAAGATTTTCAGAACCAGTCCTATTGGACTACTATAGGATTCTATCCTATAGGATTTTTTTATTGAATTTCTTCATTCATTCTATCAATCACTTATGTATTTACATGTCAAAGGTGGTTATGCAAATGACAGGATATTAGACCTGTTCAATGTTTTTCAGTCCTGTTCCTGTGGGACCCATTTCTATTCTAGTCCACTGAACTCATCACTAACAGACTCATTACACCTACTTTTAGTTGCGTCGCATGTGCTAGTGCTGGGCTAGAAGAAGAATTAGCAACTCTGTGTGTTTAGAAGAAAAATTAGCAACTCTGTGGATACAGAATAGAAAGATATTGTGGAAAATTACACCAAAAATAAGTAACAAAATGACACCCGAAACTCACATACAACGGGGCCTGATGAAATAAATGATGTGAATAATGTCACAGTATAATTCTTACCGGATTGAAGAAGGGTTGCTGAAAAGCCATGTTTCAGTGTTGCTCTGATCTGTCTGTTCGACTGTTTGGTGAATCTATAGAGCGCAGCACGTAGACGTGATCTGGCTCTCCTCAGTAAAGCTGCAATGTCACTTTTTGGGCGACCCGACCAAATTCACATAGAAATGTGAGTTATAGATCTGTCATTCTCATTGAAAGCAAGTCTAAGAAGCGGTAGATCTATTGTTCTATGTGCGCTAGTTATATATTTATATATTTTACTTTAAGTTTTGTACACCAGCTTCAAACAGCTGAAAATGCAATATTTTGGGTTATGGAAAATGTATTTCACTGGGATGGTACAATGATTCTCTACAATATACTTGCTTGCTTTGTCAATAAACTGAAATTAGGCAAACTATTAGAAAAGCAACTAGGAAATGGCGGAGCGATTTCTGCATAGCGCACCGTAAGTTTCGTTTCTCATAAATGCCTCCATTGTTTACTTACACAAACGAAAACGGTGACCTTCAGATAAGAGAGCTACGACAATGAAAATGCGCTGAAGCGCCATTAACACACCTTTTACACCAAGTAGCCTACAACTTTGCTGACTGATTCCCATTAACTTACCATTTTGAAATGGTTTAGTTTTCTTGTATCCTTCCAATTATTACTTTCACTATGTCACTAGGATCAGAGGTATTTAGGGAAAAGCATTGCAGCAAATCTGTAGTGAATAGTAAAGGGCACCACACAGCATACCTGGCTACCCAAGTGCCTATTTGACACCTAACATTTTTGGACAGTCCTGGGCCTCTTTAGTCTAACGAGCCACTCTAGAACTTGCATGGCCTCTTTGGTGACCCTAGATTAGAACCTGCATGGCCTCTTTTACCCATCACAGCCTCAGCACCACATCCTAGGTGTTACGAATTCAATGCTGGTGACTGTTATCAGAACCTCACAACCCTGAGCTGCACTCTCCACTCCCCATCCCCTACAACAGGAGCCTGAGAGTTTAGGGGGGTACCATAAACCTGCCTCTCAAACTCTCTATGACCGTGTGACCTGTGCCCTGATAGGTTGCTAGGGAAGTTACTAGGGGGCCGGATATCTGCCTATCCTCTTGACTCTGCAGGTCACACAATACTTGCAGTCTCCCTCAAGCAGTGCAGAGAGCAACGTCTCTGTCTCTGCCCATCAACAACTGGACTTACTATTATCTCTGGGATGGTGTGTATACCCAAATTGAGTTTTGTGACATGTATATATTGTTCTTAATAGTTAGTTGTTACTATTGGAGATGGTTAATAACTTCAAATTCCTCTGCGTACAAATCTCAGTGAAGCTGAAATGGTCTAACCACACAGACACTGTGGTGAAGAAGGCACGACAGCGACTCTTCAACCTCAGGATGCTGAAGAAATTCAGCCTGTCCCGAGGGCCCTCACAGTGTTCTATAGGAGCATCATTGAGAGCATCCTGTCGGGCTGCTTCACAGCCTGATACGGCAACTCCACTGCCACAGACCTATGGACATTCCCCCCCCCCCCCAACATACTTTTATTCTGTCCCCACCCCAAGGACATTTATCACTGTTGCAGTTGTTAATATGTATATTATAGATTTTTTTTATTATAATTTTTGTTTTTATTTCACTTGGCCCCCACCCCCCCTAAACAGTCATGTATTTATTAATCACTGCTACAGTTATGATGTACAGTATATAGTGCTATTTCTGTTTTTTTGTATTACCATTTAAATTATTTTATTTCACTGTACCCTGCAATCACACCTGCAACCCCTGTACATGTAACTATTAAACACTCTGAATCTATTGTTGTATGCTGCCTTTGTGTATAGCTGTATCGTCATATGTGCAGGTAGCATATACATTTTCATACAGTCCTTCCCTTTTTAATAGCCTTGTTGCTCTGCTTGTGCTATCAGTTGTAGTATTGTGTACAGTGGATTCATTACCTCTGTTTCTCCTGTTTCAGAACCACTACCTTTCCCACTTCTCATCCCCATGTGCATCCCCATATTCATCTTCCTCAGTGTGTTTAAATAAAGTTCCTGTGTGTTAACTCTTGGGCTGCTTTATTCGCCGGGTTGCTCTCTTTCACTAGGTGTTACCTCATACCTACTACATTTATATCTGATCAGATTTTGCATGTGTCCTCAAACGTACAGTATATCTATGATGTCTTATCTATAATAATACATTCTCAATACTATTTAAACATAAACAATGAGAGCCTTGCTGAATTGGGAAGTGGCTACATAAACTAAAACCATGAATACACACCACATTTTTAAAAAGTATTTTGAATGAAACATACTACACTAGTGTACAGATGAGTGAATCAGTTAGATATGAGTTTTTATGGCCTAATGTCCTTACTCCCCATCATATCTTGTGTTAATGATTACCATATCACACCAAGGGCACATATCAAGTTACCAGTGACACCAAAGACAGAAAGGGATTAGTTATAAATATATTTGGTGACACTAACCGTAAATATAACTGACTGTAAAATTCCATAACATAACTCAAATACTTTATTAAATTCAACTCAAACATAAATTATCACATGACAAGCTTCATTTTATTGTCTTTCAAGGATGAAAACAGAAACTGTGTTTACAGAATGGTAGCCACATGCAATACAAAAATATGAATTTTTACATGACATAAAAAACATTCGAAAAAAAATGTACAGTATTTTTACAGTATTTTGTACATTAAAAATATAAAGATATATACATCTGTAATAGGGGAGCAGTACCTATTTAAAAATGCAAAGATGTATAGTACATATAAAATGTTTGTACAAATATTAAAACAATTGTGTTAATTAGCTGTACATTAAATAATGTATATACATGTCTAGTTTAGACACCACTGATATCGTCAATATACCATTTACTGCAGTCTTTCACTAAATCAACCCTACATATTCCAATACAATACACTCACTCGCACATACACACTCACAAACAAACACAAATACAAGCACACCAACTGAGGCTAGCAATCACAAACATAATACACACAAGCGTGCACAAGAAGTTTATGTTTAAGGAGTAAATTATAGGACACTTTTGCGGCAGGTTCTTGTTCAAATTTTTTTGCGCTGTTTAGGAATCTACTAAACTACTTGAAAGGTCTACCTCTCTACACCACTCACAGGCTGAGAGAAGGCATCTCTTGTTTCTCTATGGCGCCCTCTTATGCCTTTTAATAATCAGGGCACTCACTTCATCATCAAATACCTTCAGTCATAAATAACCAACAGAATTCCATTTCCAGTGGGCAGTGAGATGATGAGAGGAAGGTCCCATTGCATGCTGACACCTCCTGTGAACTGCGGTTTCAACATATTAATTCTTCATTTATGCACTGAGCCATTTTAAAATGTATGGTTTCATCAGATTCTACTCAGACAAGCAACACAGAGGCAAGAGTCAATTAAATAATGCTCTCCCAATTCCTGAGACCTTTGTCCTTTCAACTTTCATGGAACAAAAAAATTAACACTGCAAAAATGATTACTCTAAATAGGAACCAACAACAAAAAGGTGACAGTTTGTATCTTATAGTTTTTTCTGCAGTTGAAATAATGTTTACAGGTAGTGAGTGACCAGAAGGCAGACATGGGGCAGCCCGGTGACAGTGTCGCAGCGCATGCCATCGAAAAACTGCATAGAGCTAAGAGGCAAGAGGCAGTTGGATTACATCACTCAAGCAGCCTGAAGCATCAAGAACACAATGAAAAAAGAGGAGGAGGGAGTGAATGCAGAGGACCATTTGTGATAGGAAGAGTTAAAACCATTGGTTTGGCCCAGCGAGTGTCTGGGCCACGTCGTCTGGGAGCTGGGCAGGCTGCAGACGGAGCAGAACACAGCAGACCAGCCATCAGCCACAAGGCACAGGCAACAGCATACCAGTCAGTCTCAGCACAGACACCACGAACCACTTACTCACAAGTCTCAGATAGTCCAAAAAATAAAAATGAAGGCAAGAAGTTTTGAGACGAAGGAAGGAAAGGTAGTGAAGCACTACCCTCGATCTCCTCAGTCCAGCACCCTTCTCTCCCACACAAGGAAACACTACAGTTTAATAGACATGTAAGATCAGGCTGTGGGTTAGTGGAAGCAGTGTCTGTATCAGGCAGAGTCAATGCTTTGATCAATCCTAAGAGTTAAGGATTTCAGGAGCATGCAAGGCAGACCCAGGCTTTGTTTGTTTTGCATTGCTTATGTTTCATAGTGACGGCTACAACCTATATTAGGAAGACAGAAAGAGAGAGAGAACAAAGGAAAACAAGGAGGTTAGAGACTGTTAGTGAAACTATACTAACAAGTGTAACATTAAGAGAGAATGATTTGAGAAGAAGGCCAGCGCAGTAGAGTAGACAGGAAAATACTTCAACATGAAACAAGGGGACAGATTTCTGTACCACAGAAAGCTCAGATGAGCTTTCTCGCAGAAAGCTTTTTCAGGATTCACAAGTCCACGCAAAGTGTCCCAACAGACCATGGCAAACACCAAGCAAGCTGGTAAGTGCTTCTCTTTCCATTCAAGCTCTGGCATGCTATGCAGACAGCCTTTGTTGGGGCATCTGTGGTATCATTACTGATAGTGTTGGAAGAGGCCAGCTTGTGATTAAATACAAACAGAAGACCAGTAGCCAAGCAGTTTCCACTAGCACAGGGTTTCCCAAAGTCGGTCCAAATTTACAGAGAACGAGCAGGAGAGAGATGGTAGGAGAGGAGTAAAGGTGGAGAGAAATCTGGACCAGGTACTGTATATCTAACATATGAGAAGAGGAGAGGGGTGGGGAGATGTAGAGGTACAGAGCAGGTCAAGAAAATGTCCAGGAAAGGGAGGGACAAAACAATGCTTTTAAACAGAAAAGTGCACTCAACTCACAGTCACATCCTGGGGGAGATAGAGTTTTGGAAATAGAAGATAAAACAGAGAACATTCCCTTAGCATCGCATATGGTTCATTTCTAAATGCTAAATGTTTCACCATTCGAAACCACCGTCTCTCATATTACAGTGGTCAATGTATTTGTAGTGGACCATCAGATGCTAATGTGGCTCATGACTATCATGAACATAAACTACTACCAAGAGTCTACTCAGGCATACCCTGCCTAGTCCCCATCAGTTTTACATCAGTGGGCTTAATACCTCACAGCAATCTGGGGTTCTTCCTTTACATGCCTTCAGTTGAACCCCTTTGTTTTATACACAAGTCCATTCCAGACGAGTCAGAGCCCAGTCAAGGTTCAGAGTGCATGGGAGGGCAGGCAGGACATATCCTCCTCCCATGCCTCCACCTCTACCTCTAGGATACGTACTCTGCAGACTTCCAGAAGTGTCCAGGGTGGGACAGTCTCCGGTTGAGTTTGGGCAGCTTCTCCAGCATGTCAGCCAGCTGGGTGAAGGTGGGCCGCTCCCTCAGGTCGTAGGCCCAGCAGGCAGACAGGACCTCCTGCACACACACAGGAGGGATTAATGTCCTCACTTCGTGCCAACACAATGCAGAGATTTACCCTGTACTCAGCTTTACTGTCTCCTCTATTCTAACAAGGCCATCCCTTAACTTAGCATTAGCCTAGAAAATATCCTCGCTTGCAATGCGGGGATTAAGAAAGATGCAAATTTGATTTTTTTTTATGTGCAAAGATTTCTGCATGATTCCACCACAATATGATCTGGCACACAGCAGTGCTTCACCCCTCCACTCACCGTGACCTCCTTTCCCAGGCTGATCTCTGCCAGGACCTTCTTGATGCCCTCACCACTCCCCACCTGCCAGATGGTAGACTCCACAGGCTGGTTGGTGATAGGCCAGTCCCTGGCTTGGAGCTCGTACCAAATGGTGCTAAATGGGGGCAAACAGCAATATGGTCATTCCCCAGAGCCAGTTAACTGTAAACTGATGCAGTCTTATAGAGAGAAAAACTATTGTGCTATCAATGATAAAGAAAAGGTACATCAGAATGTGCTAAGAGCATACCCAAAAGCGTAGACGTCTGCAGCGTTGGAGAAGGGCAGTCGGTCCTCGTTGTTTCCAGGGCTCATCCTGCGTACGATCTCTGGCGCCAGGTAACAGATCCAGCCATGTGGAAGCTTCAGCTCATTGTCTCGCCTGTGAAGGAAGACACACACACACAGTCACCCACTGAGCAACCACCCGAGCCACTGCCTGTTCACCCCTTCTATCATCCAGAAGGCGAGGTCAGTACAGGTGCATCAAAGCTGGGACTGAGAGACTGAAAAACAGCTTCTATCTCAAGGCCATCAGACTGTTAAATAGCCATCACTAGGCGGCTTCCACCTGGTTACGTAACCCTGCACCTTAGAGGATGCTGCCTTATACACATAGACTTGAAATCACTGGCCACTTTAATAATGGAACACTAGTCACTAATAATGTTTACATATTTTTGCTTTACTCATCTCATATGTATATACTGTATTCTATTCTACTGTATTTTAGTCAATGCCACTCCAACATTGCTCGTCCTAATATTTATATATTTCTTAATTCCATTATTTTACTTTTAGATTGTGTGTATTATGTGTATTGTTGTGAATTGTTAGATATTACTGCACTGTTGGAGCTAGAAGCACAAGCATTTCGCTACACCTGCAATAACATCTGCTAAACGTGTATGTGACCAATACAATTTGATTTGATTTGAGCATCCACCAGCTGAGACGATTGATGTAGGAACCAATATGCAGAGTCCTTACCTCCCCTCCTGAACCACTCCAGAGATCCCAAACAGACCAAAGTCTGTAATAATGACTTTATTGGTGTCATGAAAGACGTTCTTCGACTTCAAGTCCTTGTGGACAATGCCTTTGGCATGCAGATAGCCCATTCCCTGTGTGGATTGAAGGACGGAAATAAGGACATAAAGTAAATATACGTTACACATTTATACTGAACAAAAATATAAACGCAACAAGTGTTAGTCCCATGTTTCATGAGCTGAAATAAAATATCCCAGAAATGTTCCATATGCACAAAAAGCTTATTTCTCTCAAAATGTTAGTTTTGATGTCTTTACTATTATTCTACAATGTAAAAAATAGTACAAATAAAGAAAAACCCTTGAATGAGTATGTGTGTCCAAACTTTTTTACTGGTAGTGTGTGTGTGTATATATATATATATATATATATATATATATATACATATACATACACACACATACACACACACACACATATATATACACACATACATATATACACACCTGATATATACACACCTGTACAAATGTGAAAGTATTGAACAGGGACAGAAGTTTACCTTTACAATTTCTTGAGCAATTTGCCTCGTCTTGTTTATATCAAGTGTGTTTTTGGTGTCTCGAACGACAGAGTATAGCGTCCTCCCTTTACAGAAACTGGAGAGAAACATTTGAATAAAAAAATTGAACAAAACAAATAAACAACAGCTATGGTTGACTGAATATAACAAAGAGATAAGTATTGATTCTGGATGCGAGTTAGCCCCTCCCCCTACCTTGTGATGATGGCGAGGTGGGGCGGGGCCATGCATGCCCCCATAAAGAGGACCACGTTCTCATGACGGGTCTGTCTGTAGTTCATCACCTCCTTCTTAAACAGCTTCAGGTGGTCCTGGTTGTTCCCATCTATCTCAAGCAGCCTGATGGCCACCTCTCCATGCCAACGGCCCTTATGTACCTTGCCCCAACGGCCCTGGAGTGAAGGAGGGAGTGATTTAATGACAGTTTCAGAAACACACTTTAAATGGGTTTAAACAGAAAACACTGATAGTTCGATGCAAATGTAGATCATTCAATATTTTTGATCCAGTGAAAAGAGTGTGTTGTATTGCCCTATCACCTTCCCAATGAGCTCTCCCAGGTCCAGCTGTTCGAAGGGGATGTCCCACTCCTGCAGGTAGACACTGGTCTGGCTGGCCTTACGGGAGATGGGGCCTTTCCAGCGACCTCCCCGTGAGTTGGGCAGGTCATCCAACTCATCACCATCACACTCACCGTCCGAACCCCCATTCATCCCACTCCCATCTTCATCATCATCTTCCTCCTCCCCATCTTCCTCCTCCACTACTGGGTCTGGGTCGATCTCAGGTTCAACCACCTCCTCATCCTCCTCTTCCTCCTGTAGGACATTCATGCATGTTGGGTTTTGGGCATGTATCTGCATGTGTCACAGTTACTTCGCACACACACACTCAGTTTATACCTCTCCGTCCTCATCCTCGGCCAGTTCAGCGTGCATGTCATCTGCTGGTTCAGTCTCACTGTTGGGACAGGGTAAACCACAGTCACAATGTCAGAGTATTGTACCATTAAAACACTATTGATAAATTAAATAGACAGGCAAGCCTTACACTGTGTCATGGAGGGCTTCAGAGTGCAACGTAGTAGAACTGGACACATCTGGGAGAAAGAAATACAAATATTCAGTATGTAATAAAAAATGGTGGCTTTTTGCTTGTAAAGACAAAATTGCGTCCCTGATGTAGTTCCTTTGCCCGCTTATATTGTCGCTTTGCCATAGCAATGTGTTGACAACCACCACCACAACCACAATATGACAAGACATGCAATTCTCAAACTCCCCAGCAGGTGGCACAGAGACCCATCTCCACATGAGACAATGAATGCAGTCTAAATATCACACAGCACAACACATTATTCTAAAACATTGACAAATGCACAACTTGGTCACGTAATTCACTAAGCCTGTGAATACATGCAGGAGATAGAGAGAGCTGACAGGGTTGGGGCTGGGGACGTTGGCAGGTGTGAGCGCAGTACAACAGTCTGTCTGGGACCGTACTGTAAACTCACCAGGGAAGATAAACTTCTGTCTATGCTGAAAGTAGCAGGCAGCTTAGGGAAAAGAGAGGGAAGAACCAACAAGCATGGAGTGGAGAGAGAGACTCTGGGTTAGAGTATCCGTTAAAACAACCCCAGTCACCCCCACCCCCCAGAGGAGCGGTATTAATGTAGAGAGAGAGGGAGGACGACCCCTGCTGCCCGGCCATTCCATTCCACGTTCAAAGTTCGCTAAACAGGAAATGTGACTCAGGGAGACCTTCTGTGTAATCAAGAACACAATGCAAGCATGCCCTTGATAGTGGGAGTATGCTGGCTTATTTGTGTGCAGTGGACATGCTTGTGTGGTTAAGTGTACTGTTGAAGTCGGAAGTTTACATACACTTAGGTTGGAGTCATTAAAACTTGTTTTTCAACCACTCCACAAATGTCTTGTTAATAAACTATAGTTTTGGCAAGTCGGTTAGGACATCTACTTTGTGCATGACACAAGTACATTTTCCAACAATTGTTTACAGGCAGATTATTTCACTTATAATTCACTGTATCACAATTTCAGTGGGTCAGAAGTTTACATACACTAAGTTGACTGTGCCTTTAAAAAGCTTGGAAAATGCCAGAAAATGATGTCATGGCGTTAGAACCTTCTGATAGGCTAATTGACATCATTTGAGTCAATTGTAGGTGTACCTGTGGATGTATTTCAAGGCCTACCTTCAAACTCAGTATCTCTTTGCTTGACATCCTGGGGAAATGAAAATAAATCAGCCAAGACCTCAGAAAACAAATTGTAGACCTCCACAAATATGGTTCATCCTTGGGAGCAATTTCCAAACACCTGAAGGTACCACGTTCATCTGCACAAACAATAGTACAAAGTATAAACACCATGGGACCACGCCGCCGTCATACCGCTCAGGAAGGAGACGCGTTCTGTCTCCTAGAGATTAACGTACTTTGGTGCGAAAAGTGCAAATCAATCCCAGAACAACAGCAAAGGACCTTGTGAAGATGCTGGAGGAAACAGGTACAAAAGTATCTATATCCACAGTAAAACAAGTCCTATATCGACATAACCTGAAAGGCCGCTCAGCGAGGAAGAAGCCACTGCTCCAAAACCGCTATAAAAAAGCCAGACTACGGTTTGCAACTGCACATGGGGACAAAGATCGTACTTTTTGGAGAAATGTCCTCTGGTCTGATGAAACAAAAATATAACTATTTGGCCATAATGACCATCGTTATGTTTGGAGGAAAAAGGGGAAGGCTTGCAAGCCAAAGAACACCATCCGAACCGTGAAGCACGGGGGTGGCAGCATCATGCAGTGGGGGTGCTTTGCTGCATGAGGGACTGGTGCACTTCACAAAATAGATGGCATCATGAGGAAGGAAAATTATGTGGATATATTGAAGCAACATCTCAAGACATCAGTCAGGAAGTTAAAGCTTGGTCGCAAATGGGTCTTCCAAATGGACAATAACCCCAAGCATACTTCCAAAGTTGTGGCAAAATGGCTTAAGGACAGCAAAGTCAAGATATTGGAGTGGCCATCACAAAGCCCTGACCTCAATCCTATAGAACATTTGTGGGCAGAACTGAAAAAGCGTGTGCGAGCAAGGTGGCCTACTAACCTGACTCAGTTACACCAGCTCTGTCAGGAGGAATGGGCCAAAATTCACCCAACTTATTGTGGGAAGCTTGTGGAAGGCTACCCGAAACGTTTGACCGAAGTTAAACAATTTAAAAGGCAATGCTACCAAATACTAATTGAGTGTATGTAAACTTCTGACCCACTGGGAATGTGATGAAAGAAATAAAAGCTGAAATAAATAATTCTCTCTACTATTATTCTGACATTTCACATTCTTAAAATAAAGTGGTGATCCTAACTGACCTAAAACAGGGAATTTTTACTAGGATTAAATGTCAGGAATTGTGAAAAATTGAGTTTAAATGTATTTGGCTAAGGTGTATGTAAACTTCCGACTTCAACTGTATATCCATGTGTGTATATTCATGTGTGTTTTTGCATGTGAGAGAGTGCGATAGAGAGAGAAAGGGAGAGACTCCAGGTGATTGTGTGTGTTTATGTATTTGTATAGGTGTGTGAGTGACGGTCAGGGACCTACCTGGGAAGTGGAAGCGGTTGTCCCGGTGGACCTTGGGCGAGGAGTTGGGGGGCGGGGTGGCACTGGGAGGGTTCTGGAAAGGGACAGGGGAGGATGGTGTGGAGGAGGTGGTGGAGGACGGGTTACTGCTGGAGTCCAACTGGTTCAGCGCAGGGGGGTGATCCTGGGAGAAGGAGAAGAAGAAGAAATACACACTGATCAGAGTCAATAACACACTTGTCTGTCCTAACAGCACCATGCATATCATTATCATCAAAGCTGTGATGTAATATCTAAGACGGTGTCTCTACCTTTTTGGTGATGGCCTTTGGTAGTGTGCCAAACTGTGGTGCCTCTAATGGCCGATCCACAGGGTTGTTGATGTCAGATGGCACAGACTCAGTCCTCCGGATTTTGGTGACTGGAAAGAAGAGATTGGGACCATTAAACTAACACTTGTTGAATCAAATCGGTAAACCATGAATCCATGGATGAAAATGAGAAGCAAGAAAGGGCTTACTTGGCAGAAAAGAGATTCTGCAGGAGGGAGCTTCTTTAGTACACTTGTTATGGCACTTTAACCTGCAGACATGAAACAACCAATCAGAGAACAATTGATCACCAAAAGAAGATGAAGTTGTATTTTTTTTGCATTGTACAGACACTCAACCCAACACCAGAACATCTCAGAGAGCCCCCCTCCCTCTCCTTCTCTCTCTACTCCACTCACCTGCAGTGTTTACACTTCACCCCAAACATCATGTTCTTCTGACACACCTGACACGTCTGAGACAGCCACGACTTGGTGGAAAACCTTCACACAGAATCGTCAATTACATAAACCATCAATCGTTTTTTGCCATTTCTACTGTGGCTTGAAAGTATATTTTACATTTGTATCATGGTAGTCTCTGACCTAAAGGTGTATGACATGAGGTAGTCACCAACCTGTGAGTGACGGCCAGGCCTATGTCTCTCCTCACTGTCTGTGGAGAGCCACGGTGCAACCCCATGTTATCTGGGGGGGGAGAGAGAGAGAGAGGAGAGATGTCAAACACTAGTAGTCAAACAAATATAGACAGAGGAGGATTTGTCTAAACATTAAGTATTAGCACAAATATGGCAATTTATTTATGAAGTTTAGTGGCTACTATCAAAATGAAATCACTGGTGCTTAGGGAATTGCAAAATATTGTTACCTTTCCCAAAAATCCCAGTTGGAAGACTCCAGGAAATTCTCAGAATTTTGCAACCCTAGTGTTGCGGTTGCTTACAACTTGCCACACTATGTGCCAAAACAATGACAACATTTACTGTTCATTTTACAAGTTAAAACGAATTTGCATGAGACCTAATGACGTTGGTTCGGTAGGTGACTCTCCTACACATGAATCATTATGGACACATACACTATGTGCCAAACCAAAAAAACAAACATTTACTGTTTATTTTACAAGTTAGAACCAATTTGAGTGAGACCTAATAACGTTGGTTTGGTAGGTGATACACACTCACTCACACGACTTTGTGGGAGTGTTAGATTTTGCTCTATGCTGTCGAATGAATTGGAAGAGTAATGTCATTTCTCTAGAAGCGATGAGGTCAGAAAACGCTCCCTCCCCCCACATCACAGCCCTCAGATGGAACAGACTGAAACACTCTGAGCCAGACTGGGATGGCAACTGTGGCCCTACAGCCAGCTACTGGGAAATACATTTGGCTCTTTAAAAAGAGCACACATACACAAACGGTCCATTCCATCTGAGTACCGTAATTCACCATGCATTTACCAATCTATTTCAGTGAAGATTCCTTACATATAGCGGGGTAAGTCAAAATGTATGTGTACTCACTCTTGAGGTGGAATGAATGCTCCTCCATCAGAGTAGGGGTGCCAGGTAGGGTGTAGGGAGCGGTGGCGGGGGCAGGGGTGGAAGCCCCGGGGGTGCGGGCAGACCGGTGGGGGGAGCGGGAGAGCGAGACCTCACAGCCATTCCCATTGATCTGAACGTTGAGGAACAACTTATTCTTCTTTGCACACCTGAGGGGAACACAGAACGCTGTGACGTCAGTACAGTGGCCCACTGCTGCCCTCACACCCTCATCACTGGATTACTCAATGACAATCCAAAACAGACCTCCATACAGATAATCTTTCACCAGAGATAATTTTTGAATGGCCATACTGTATGAACCATGTTATGTAAGTGTCAGAGAAGTGAGGCAGAGAGGGAGGCAGTATCATGCCTTGGCAGAGAGGAGATTCAGCAACACATACATTTTAGTAATTTAGCAGACGCTCTTATCCAGAGTGACTTTGAGTTAAGTGCCTTGCTCAAGGACACAGCCACATTTTTCACCTTGTCGACTCAGGATTCAAACCAGCAACCTTTCAGTTACTGGCCCAATGCTCTAACCACTAGGCTACCTGCCGCCACTTGGAGGACAATGAAATTAAATTTAAAAAAAGCAGGCACAGGGAAGACTGAGCCACACCCTCCACCACTGGAGAGGAGAGCAGAGCAGAGCACAGGCCAAAGGGCTTAGCATCCTCTTCCTGGCATTGGTCAGGAATGCTGATCCAGCAGCACACAGCCCCACTGCCTGCCTGCCTGCCTGCTCTCTCAGGGCTCTGCCTGTGCCCCCGCTCACACTCATCAGTGTCCTCACAGGCTAGGTCTGGGGTCATAGGGTATACTTCTATATACATGTACATAATGCATGTATCGTTAAGCTGTAGTATCAGTCCTGTTTAAATACTTCTGTCTAGTCAGGTTTCATTATGGCTGAGCTTTCCATCACTAATGTAACATCACTACAAATAAACAGGATATTACTGATATGCGTTAGTATGTGTGTTTATTAGGTACACCCATCTAGTACCGGGTTGGACACCCCCTTTGCCTCCAGAACAGCCTGAATTCTTCGGGGCATTCTACAAGGTGTCGGAAATGTTCCACAGGGTTTTGACACGATGCCATCACACAGTTGTGCAGATTGGACGGCGGTACATTCATGCCCACGAACAGCCCGTTCCATCTCATCCCAAAGATGCTCTATTAGGTCTGGGGACCGTGCAGGCCACTCAAGTAAACTGAACTCGATGTCATGTTCCAGGCGATGTTTTTCCACTCCTCAATTGTCCAGTGTTGGTTATCGCGTGCCAACTGGAGCCACTTCTTCTTGTTTTTAGCTGATAGGAGTAGAACCCGGTGTGGTCGTCTGCTGCAATAGCCCATACGTGATAAGGATCGGCAAGTTGGCCGTTCCGAGATGCCGTTCTGCACACCACTGTTGTACTGTGTCATAATTTGTCTGTTTGTTGCCCACCTGTTAGGTTGCACGATTCTTGCCATTCTCCTTCGACCTCACTCATCAACGAGCTATTACGCCCACAGGACTGCCACTGACTGGATTATTATTTATTTTTTCCGCACTGTCATGCATGAAAAGCCCAGGAGGGCGGCCGTTTCTGAGATACTGGATCCGGCGCACCTGGCATCGACGATCATACCACGCTCAAAGTCACTTAGGTCACTCGTTTTGCCCATTCTAACGTTCAATTGAACAGTAACTGAATGCCTTGATGCCTGTCTGCCTGCTTTATATAGCAAGCCACGGCCACGTTTTCGTGAACGGGGTGGTTTACCTAATAAACTGTATGTGTGTGTCTTGCCCTGCTTTGAGAATCAGGCCTTAGAAAAGCTTCCTGTTTTGACATTACTCATTATCTCTGGGAATCTGTGGGGATTAGCTCCGGCCATATACACATTAAGGCAGCAGCAGGCAGGATGTGGTTTGTGTGTGTGTGTGTGTGTGAGAGTACAAGTGTGTGTGATAAGCCCTGCCCTTACACGTCCAGTTGTAATGTCATAATAGGGTGGAGGCGTGTCCTATATTCAACCCTGTTCCAAGATTTTGAGCAGCGTGGAAAACTGCCCAGACACTGGTCATGATGACCTCACACATATGTTGCCAATTAAAATAACCTTTCAGAAATCTCTCATCAAGGGGCCCACTATAATTACTGTGAATTGGACTAGATAAGTTGAAATTCTGTGCCTCCAACCACACTGTATAACACTTTACTCTAGGTCATAAAGGACTGGAAGTCACACATACAAAGCCTAGGGCACGGGAACAGGAAGTGACCTACTTGTTGGTTGGCGGCTCCTCGATGCGGTTCCCCAGCTGGGACTCATGGCTCTTGCTGCGGGTCAGGGTGATGTTGGGCAGAAGGTGCAGCACCTTGCGGGAGGGGGGTGGCGGGGTGCAGGGGGGCTTCAGCCTGTGGCGTCTCTTGGAGGGCGGGGTGAGGGGCGGGGTGGAGGTGTGGCCATGGAGTAGCCCCTGTCGGGTGGTGGAGAGGGGGAAGGGGTCTGTGAGAGGGCTGTCAGCCCCGTGGGACTCGGGACTGGGCATTGTAGACACGGAGAAGGACCGGGGATGGGCACAGGCAGTGCAGGGGGTGGAGGGAGTGGATGGGGTGGTGGGGGGCCGAGCTAGGGAAGAGGGGCTGTGGGGGCGCATCGGACCCCCCATCCCTCCCAACAGCTGTTCGGGAGGCAGCAGCAGAGAGCCACTGTCTCGCCGGGTGGGCTCAGAGAACCATGGCCCCCCATCCTCTCTTAACTCTCCATCTGTAGGGGAGACACAGAAAAGGGTTCCAGACCTGTTAGAGCCGGTTAGTCATACTAGCACCCTCAGTCTTCCACCCCTCAACCTAGTGTCTTCTGTCCTACAACAGAACCTTACCCTGGGTGGCGGCCTGTTGCTGCTGGCGGGGATAATAGAGCAGAACCAGCCTGGCGCTGAGACTAACAGTCAGTAAAACCCCACAGAGACCCCACACTGACAAGTCAGATCAGGCAGACTCTCCAAGGGACAGACAGACAGAAACAGCCAGCCAGCCAGACAGACACCCACCTGATTCAGTGGCACTCTTCAGGCAGGAGAGGGCAGCGCTGAGCCTGGCACACTCCTCTAAACTGGAGCCCAGTCTCCTCATGGTCTCCCGCACGTGAGAACCTGGCATCTGCAGCAAGGCATCCAAGGACAGCTTCACCGGCACCGCCTGGCGAGAGGAGCAGAGAGAGACAAGGTCAGGAGGAGGTGAGTGACCAGTACCACCACACACTATCCAGTCGGACCTCTCCATACAGTACAACATGTGATAGAGCAACATACAGACGTATACATCTTACACTAGTATCCTAGTATCCAACTCTATAATAGACACAAAAGGTGACCATTGTTCATTCTCATCAACCTAAGGCAGGCAGCCAGACAGACATCTATCTCCAGATATATCCACAGGCCAGACCAGGAGCAGAGACCAGTGAGTACAGACTGACAAGGTGACTTTTATCAATATAGTCGGCTCACTGCATTTGTGATGCACATTGGGTTGCAAAGAAAAAGCCATATCTCAGACTGGCCAATAAAAAGAAAATATTAAGATGGGCAATCTGGGATATGGCTTTTTCTTTGCAACTCTGCCTAGAAGGTCAGCATTCCGGAGTCGCCTCTTCACTGTTGACGTTGAGACTGGTGTTTTGCGGGTACTATTTAATGAAGCTGCCAGTTGAGGACCTGTGAGGCGCCTGTTTCTCAAACTAGACACTAATGTATTTGTCCTCTTGCTCAGTTGTGCACCGGGGCCTCCCACTCCTCTTTCTATTCTGGTTAGAGCCAGTTTGCACTGTTCTGTGAAGGGAGTAGTACACAGCGTTGTACGAGATCTTCAGTTTCTTGGCAATTTCTCTCATGGAATAGCCTTCATTTCTCAGAACAAGAATAGACTGACGAGTTTCAGAAGAAAGTTATTTGTTTCTGGCCATTTTGAGCCTGTAATTGAGGGTTCCAGACTGACTGATTGGCCAAAGCCCCGTGGAGCCTTCCACCTAGAGGAGAACACAGAAACTCTGAACAATGAGGGTCTTTGAACAAACGCTCAAACATCTGGCTAGAAATAGACAGAGTGATTTGATTCCATTTGTAGGTGGTGGCACAGCAGCGTGACTGTGTTTGTCGCAAACAGTACACACCATCCCTTCCCAGTAGTTTCTCTGTGCATCACAACACAGTCTAATTGTGTGCACTCAAATCCACCTCACAAATGAGAAATTAATGCAAAATGGTGAGGTAATTTATTCCATGGTCAACTGAACATAACTACTGTGGCAATAGTTTTGGAATTGAAATTATTCGCAAGCCTGCGAGTTGTAGCCTGTATTGTTTTAGGACTTTCAGTCACCTTCTTGAAGTTTGCCATTATAAAAGTGTGTACCTGGAGATACAGTACGCTGTCTAACAACATGAGTTGTTACGCCCGCACTTCAGACATACCTTTGTCCCCTCATCCTATGGGTTGACTACCCTCTATATTACAGCCTATTTTACTAGCCACTCCTGACTCCCCGACCCACCCTATGTCTCAAAGGTGAGCTGTACCCAATAACTATGTCCTCAGGAAAACTGTAAGTATGTGCACAAACACAACCAACACAGTCAGGTGCAACCAGGAGACATGACAATGAGAAGAGATTAGCTTAAAAACAGCCGGGTCTAGTGCTTCAGGCTAGATCACCACTGGCACAAACCATCAGGAAACCTTCCTCTAAACAAACAAACAAACCCAATACTCTGCAGGCTGCCCAACACAGTCTTGGGATTAGACATGCTCGTCAAAACCCTAACGCATACAGCTGTGTAAAATGACAATGTCCAATGAGCAAAAAACAGCGGCACACAGCTGAAAATTGGACGCTTGAAGATGGCATGAACATCTTAATAGCAGGAAAACCATATTGTTTCTGTACCATTTTAGTTAAAAACATCCTGCCTCCAGAAAAAATTACAACCGGATGTTACATGTTTGGTTTTAAATATATACTTACTGAATGATTCGGCTATAGCTTTCTTTACATACCATATGGAAGATTTTCAACACACTGTAGATGAAGAGCTCTACTCATTCCAGTGAGAGGAATCCACTACTTCCACAACCCTCGTCACACACGACAAATAACCCCACTATCCATCCCTCCCTCCCTCCCTCTTAGCCAAGCCATTGGCTCGTCCTTCCCTGCACCTCCCTCCCACCCCCTCCCTCCCTCCTCCAGTGCAGGTCCAAGCACACAGCTCAGTCAGTCTGTGAGGTAGCCAGACACACAGAGAGAAGAGGTGATACTGAGGACCTGGCTGGGTGGGGGTAAGTATGTGGGTATGACTACAGGGGGCTACAGTCTGCCTACTCACCATAAAGTGCTGATGTCAGCCTGGCTACCCCAGGGTCTGTGACTCGCTGGCCAGGTCTAACCCTCATTCACAGAGTTCAACACAGGTGTGATCCCAGAGCCAGGAGGAGATGAACACCTTTTTCAGCCCCTGCTGGCCTGAAGCACATTGTGTGGATGGGAATGAACCCTGTAACCTTACAGAGCTAAAAACGATTGTCTCACCAACCTCAAGAAACTGAGATATTTCTGGAAATACTGTATCTAAGGCAAGAACATACTCATTTTCTATGTAACAAAACCCATTTTCAGTTTCTCTGATATGTTCGTTCCCGGTTACATTCAACGTGTAGAAGCAGGCTCACCCAGTTGAAATGCTTCCAGGAGCGCTGTCACAATTAGGCTTTTTGCACTCCTTGCAATTAAACCCATACGATACACACAGACCTGCAAGAGACTCCCAACTTGATATCCACAGATTGGCTTGTTATGTAACATTATGTAAGCCTTGCTTGTTAGGCTAGTGGACAATCCTAAAAAAGGGCTTTTGTTTTTTAGATACTCCTACCTGGGGGGGGGCAGCATATAACAAAATATTGCAAGCTCTGATATTGCTCAAATTTGGAATACAAGTAGTCAAATGTCTGCCCAACATACACAAACAAACAGCATTAGGATATCTTAAAGCATTTTAGAAATATAGACCTGTAAACACAGATACAATAGTTGGAAATATCAACTGTTCATATTTATGACGAATGTAAACGTAACTTTTTGGTAGCTGTTCAATAGATAACTTTTCAAGTCAAATTTGCTCTCATTCAGTGCTCTATAGAGCCCCACAGTGGAGGTGTCATAATACTCATAAAACCTAGCGGTCTAACAGGGAAATTGTTCCAATTGTTTTTACACCATTCATTTTTCCCATGGGAAATTCTAGAAACACTTCAAATAAAGGGCTGTGTTTCGTGTAGGCTTACCCTGGCATTACGTTTTGATAACCATGTATCTCTCTCTCGCACAAGGTGACTTTTATCAATATATTCGGCTCACTGCATTTGTGATGCACATTGGGTTGCAAAGAAAAAGCCATATCTCAGACTGGCCAATCAAAATAAAAGATTAAGATGGGCAGTCTGAGATATGGCTTTTTCTTTACAACTCTGCCTAGAAGGTCAGCATTCCGGAGTCGCCTCTTCACTGTTGACGTTGAGACTGGTGTTTTGTGGGTACTATTTAATGAAGCTGCCAGTTGAGGACCTGTGAGGCGTCTGTTTCTCAAACTAGACACTCTAATGTATTTGTCCTCTTGCTCAGTTGTGCACCGGGGCCTCCCACTCCTCTTTCTATTCTGGTTAAAGCCAGTTTGCGCTGTTCTGTGAAGGGAGTAGTACACAGCGTTGTACGAGATCTTCAGTTTCTTGGCAATTTCTCGCATGGAATAGCCTTCATTTCTCAGAACAAGAATAGACTGACGAGTTTCAGAAGAAAGTTCTTTGCTTCTGGCCATTTTGAGCCTGTAATCGAACCCAGAATTGCTGATGCTCCAGATACTCAACTAGTCTCAAGAAGGCCAGTTTTATTGCTTCTTTAATCAGCACAACAGTTTTCAGCTGTGCTAACATAATTGCAAAATGGTTTTCTAATGATCAATTAGCCTTTTAAAATGATAAACTTGGATGAGAAAACACAACGTGCCATTGGAACACAGGACTGATGGTTGCTGATAAAATGGGCCTCTACGCCTATGTAGATATTCCATTACAAATCAGCCGTTTCCAGCTACAATAGCCATTTACAACATTAACAATGTCTACACTGTATTTCGGATCAATTTGATGTTATTTTAAATGGACAAAAAATTGCTTTTCTTTCGAAAACAAATACATTTCTAAGTGACCCCAAACTTTTGAACGGCAGTGTATGTGTAGAGCTGTGCTATGTCCCTCACAACCAACGCTTCTTAGTCATAGTCTATGACCTAGCTACACTAACTAACATCTAAGTAACCTGAGGTTACCCTCACCGGTTTGTCACTCTCCACATCTCCTGCTGGGCCTGCCCCAGTCCGTAATCAATGCCAACCACCCACGGCCAAATTATCTTTCTACCTGACTTCCAAAGGAACAGAAAGAAATATGTAGGACGTGACCTGCAGAACGTTTTGCCACATTCAACATAAAAACTCCACCCACAGGCCAATTAGGCATTGTAAAGACCTAAAGGCAAATCTGTCGGTGACAGCCCTTTCACAGACTTTCCTTCACAACCAGACAACCAACTGTTTTGTTAGACTTCAGTGCGGCTTTTGACATTATCGATCAGTCTGCTGCTGGAAAAACTTGTTATGGCTTTACACCCCCTGCTATAATGTGGATAAAGAGTTACTTGTCTAACAGAACACAGAGGGTTTTCTTTAATGGAAGCCTCTCAAACATAATCCCCAGGGCAGCTGTCTAGGCCCCTTGCTTTTTTCCATCTTTACTAACGACATGCTTTGAGTAAAGCCAGTGTGTCTATGTATGCGGATGACTCAACACTATACACGTCAGCTACTACAGCAACTGAAATAACTGCAACACTTAACAAAGAGTTGCAGTTAGTTTCGGAATGGGTGGCAAGGAATAAGTTAGTCCTGAATATTTCCAAAACTAAAAGCATTGTATTTGGGTCAAATCATTCACTAAACCCTAAAACTCAACTACATCTCGTAATGAATAATGTGGAAATTGAGCAAGTTGAGGACACTAAACTGCTTGGAGTAACCCTGGATTGTAGACTGTCATGGTCAAAGCATATTGATACAACAGCAGCTAAGATGGGGAGAAGAATGTCCATAATTAAGCGCTGCTCTGCCTTCTTAACAACACTATCAACAAGGCAGGTCCTACAGTCGTGGTCAAAAGTTTTGAGAATGACAAGTATTGGTCTTCACAAAGTTTGCTGCTTCAGTGTTTTTAGATATTTTTGTCAGATGTTACTTTGGTATACTGAAGTATAATTACAAGCATTCCATAAGTGTCAAAGGCTTTTATTGACAATTACATTAAGTTTATGCAAAGAGTCAATATTTGCAGTGTTGACCCTTCTTTTTCAAGACCTCTGCAATCCGCCCTGGCATGCTGTCAATTAAATTCTGGGCCACATCCTGACTGATGGCAGCCCATTCTTGCATAATCAATGCTTGGAGTTAGTCAGAATTTGTGGGGTTTTGTTTGTCCACCCGCCTCTTGAGGATTGACCACAAATTCTCAATGGGATTAAGGTCTGGGGAGTTTCCTGGCCATGGACCCAAAATGTCGATGTTGTGTTCCCCGAGCCACTTAGTTATCACTTTTGCCTTATGGCAAGGTGCTCTATCATGCTGGAAAAGGCATTGGTAATCACCAAACTGTTCTTGGATGGTTGGGAGAAGTTGCTCTCGGAGGATGCGTTGGTACCATTCTTTATTCATGGCTGTGTTCTTAGGCAAAATTGTGAGTGAGCCCACTCCCTTGGCTGAGAAGCAACCCCACACATGAAAGGTCTCAGGATGCTTTACACAGGCATGACACCTTGTCTTCTCCGGACAAGCTTTTTTCCGGATGCCCCAAACAATCGGAAAGGGGATTCATCAGAGAAAATGACTTTACCCCAGTCCTCAGCAGTCCAATCCCTGTACCTTTTGCAGAATATATGTCTGTCCCTGATGTTTTTCCTGGAGAGAAGTACATTCCACTACTGGAGTATCCCCAGCATCATTCAGGCTGGGATAACATTCCAGTAAGTCAATGGGTCTCTTTGGTATGCAAGCTGCATCTGCTGACTGCCTATAGCGAACTGTAGAAATGGAAACTGATCACCGCACAGCCCCAATACCCCGCCAGGCATACACAAAGGATACATTTTACATTTTAGCCATTTAGCAGACGCTCTTATCCAGAGCGACTTACAGTTAGTGAGTGCATACATTATTAATTTTTTTCATACTTCCCCGTGGGAATCGAACCCACAACCCTGGCATTGCAAACGCCATGCTCTACCAACTGAGCTACATCCCTGCCGGCCATTCCCTCCCCTACCCTGGACAACGCTGGGCCAATTGTGCGCCGCCCCATGGGTCTCCCAGTCGCGGCCGGCTACGACAGAGCCTGGATTCGAACCAGGATCTCTAGTGGCACAGCTAGCACTGCGATGCAGTGCCTTAGACCACTGTGCCACTGGTCATTCGCTGCAGCTTGCCCAGAATGACCAGTTAGCTGTGCAAGCTGGTCAGTCTCCAGAACTACAACCACCACTGGCTACTTTGTCTCCTCACCCTGTTAAGGACAAACTCATGTCCTAGTCACCTCAAAGACTTTGAATCAACCTTCCACACTTAGTTTTAGTGGGGAAAAGAGGGCTGTACATATACACTACAAGAGTAGCTGATTGTTGTATTACGGTTGTTTTCCTGTAAATTAATGCTGGTTATGGTTATGCTACTGTGTCCTTGTGTCATGAAAGGCTTGTTATTATATTTTGTGGATTTGCCCATTGTTGATATGCTGTAAATGTGTGAATGAGATTAAAACATGAACACACATTGGAAAACTAGTTGGCTTCGGCTATTCAAACACAAAAGAGGCATGGCAGTGCCACTCATTGTCCTAGATACAGTGGGGGAAAAAGTATTTAGTCAGCCACCAATTGTGCAAGTTCTCCCACTTAAAAAGATGAGAGAGGCCTGTAATTTTCATCATAGGTACACGTCAACTATGACAGACAAAATGAGGAGAAAAAAAATCCAGAAAATCACATTGTAGGATTTTTTATGAATTTATTTGCAAATTATGGTGGAAAATAAGTATTTGGTCAATAACAAAAGTTTCTCAATACTTTGTTATATACCCTTTGTTGGCAATGACACAGGTCAAACATTTTCTGTAAGTCTTCACAAAGTTTTCACACACTGTTGCTGGTATTTTGGCCCATTCCTCCATGCAGATCTCCTCTAGAGCAGTGATGTTTTGGGGCTGTCGCTGGGCAACACAGACTTTCAACTCCCTCCAAAGATTTTCTATGGGGTTGTGATCTGGAGACTGGCTAGGCCACTCCAGGACCTTGAAATGCTTCTTACGAAGCCACTCCTTCGTTGCCCGGGCGGTGTGTTTGGGATCATTGTCATGCTGAAAGACCCAGCCACGTTTCATCTTCAATGCCCTTGCTGATGGAAGGAGGTTTTCACTCAAAATCTCACGATACATGGCCCCATTCATTCTTTCCTTTACACGGATCAGTCGTCCTGGTCCCTTTGCAGAAAAACAGCCCCAAAGCATGATGTTTCCACCCCCATGCTTCACAGTAGGTATGGTGTTCTTTGGATGCAACTCAGCATTCTTTGTCCTCCAAACACGACGAGTTGAGTTTTTACCAAAAAGTTCTATTTTGGTTTCATCTGACCATATGACATTCTCCCAATCCTCTTCTGGATCATCCAAATGCACTCTAGCAAACTTCAGACGGGCCTGGACATGTACTGGCTTAAGCAGGGGGACACGTCTGGCACTGCAGGATTTGAGTCCCTGGCGGCGTAGTGTGTTACTGATGGTAGGCTTTGTTACTTTGGTCCCAGCTCTCTGCAGGTCATTCACTAGGTCCCCCCGTGTGGTTCTGGGATTTTTGCTCACCGTTCTTGTGATCATTTTGACCCCACGGGGTGAGATCTTGCGTGGAGCCCCAGATCGAGGGAGATTATCAGTGGTCTTGTATGTCTTCCATTTCCTAATAATTGCTCCCACAGTTGATTTCTTCAAACCAAGCTGCTTACCTATTGCAGATTCAGTCTTCCCAGCCTGGTGCAGGTCTACAATTTTGTTTCTGGTGTCCTTTGACAGCTCTTTGGTCTTGGCCATAGTGGAGTTTGGAGTGTGACTGTTTGAGGTTGTGGACAGGTGTCTTTTATACTGATAACAAGTTCAAACAGGTGCCATTAATACAGTTAACGAGTATAGGACAGAGGAGCCTCTTAAAGAAGAAGTTACAGGTCTGTGAGAGCCAGAAATCTTGCTTGTTTGTAGGTGACCAAATACTTATTTTCCACCATAATTTGCAAATAAATTCATTAAAGATCCTACAATGTGATTTACTGGATTTTTTTTTCTCATTTTGTCTGTCATAGTTGACGTGTACCTATGATGAAAATTACAGGCCTCTCTCATCTTTTTAAGTGGGAGAACTTGCACAATTGGTGGCTGACTAAATACTTTTTTCCCCCACTGTATATCAAAAGCCTTATGAAACCATTTTAAAGACAGAATAAAACAATCGAAATGAACAAGTGCTACTTATATACAGGTTAATGTGTTTGAGTGTAATCATGTTGGCCATATTGAATTCAGAATTAAATTGATTCACACCAACAGTCTTTATAGGCATGAGTGTTCTACACAATTCTGAAAAAAATGCCTCTTATTTACAAAATTCATATTTTACAGGTGATTTTACCTCCATCAAATGTTATTATGGCAGCCATATTTGAATTTGGATTTCAGGCTAAATATAAAGACAATCTGTGATTGCCCCTTTGACTTCATTCCAAGACTAGGGGCTAAAGATACAAAATCCTTTAAGGAACCTTGGACCCCCCAAAAAAGTCATTTCGATGTCTGAGCCAACTTGTTTTCCCTAGAGACTATTACAATTGCCATCAAAACACATGTTACTGTATGTATTTCTGTCAGGCAGGACCATACAGCACTGAATGAGAGCAAATTTGACTAGGAAAGTTGTCTATTGAACAGCTGCAAAAAATGTAGTTTTGTATTCCAAACTTCACACACACTTTTGCAGTAAAATATTTTTATACAACCATCCATTTCATATATGGGAGACCTTAGAGATATGGAAAAACATGGTTGTGTTTTGTTATACCTCGGGTAGGGGTATCTCAAAATGTTGGGGGCCTTCCACTAGTCTGTTGGCTGAGTACACCCCCAACCATGTGAGCATGCAGGCAGGCAGGCAGCACTGGAGGATTCAAGGCCAGTTGTGCCGTCACAGTTCACACTGTCACTGAAGTGGGTCACAGCACCTAGGATGCAGCAGCATTGCTGGACTGACTGGCTGACTGACTGATGGGAGTTGTACTGTAGCAGTCCTATTAGTGATCAATCTGTTGCCATGCTAGAGTTATTTCAAATTGTTAGACGGGAGAGGATAAAGCGCTCTATGCACAAAAGTCTGCTGGCATCCCTGGTACTTTGTAGGCTGTCTTTATATCCTATCCTGCTTGCTGTCTGTTCACAGGGCACAGACAGATCACTCACTGGCCTATGAGTAAAAATAGAGCAATGATGGGGGGCGGGAATGAGAGCACGAGAGCGATGGATTAGGGGTGGTGCCGTATCTGGGGTCCATCCAGAGTGTGTGGAATGTGACGGGAGCCTCTCAGCCAAAACAACACTAGTAAGTAGATAACAGAGCACCACTCTCCCCTGACCTGCCCTCTCCAGGCCTGGCCATAGCTCGGCTACAGCCTAGCCTAGCTAGTAGCTAGTATCCAGCCTGGCTGGCTGGGACAGCACATGCCTGAGGGACCTTATGAGAGCTGAGGACATGCAGACACAGTAATTCCTGGCTGGAGCAGCAGCCAACAGTGGTCTAGCCTCTCTGTATGGGCCCCTGCAGTGGATTTCAGACTGTTGTATAGGACTGTAAAATGGTGAGTCATTCACACAGTAGCAGCCTGTTCTCTGAAATATAAGCTTTGTTAAACATTCTTGGTTTGTGGCTTCGAAACGGAGACAAAAAATGCATCATCTGCCATTTTAAATTGCTCTTGGTTCCAACAGTATAATTTCTTAGGACACTAAATTGCATGATTTAAGATCCATGAGGCTGCAAACCCATAAGAGTTGGATGGCTATACTCTACATTTGCTATCCTTACAAACGAAGAGTCAAATGAAGAGTCAAATGTAGGCATGTAATTCCCCATACAGCATTCAACCAGCACATTTTATGGCAAGATACTGCTAGAACTGATCAGACCTCCTAAACATAAGTGCTCTATGACAAGAAAGGAATTGGTTTATCAGAGTCTGGGACATTACAAAAAGAAGACCAGTACACATACTTACATTTACACCAACATGCAGAGAGACAGTGGCGCGCGCGCACACACAAACACTTCTAGGACCTACCTCAATGAGCTCAGGTCTCAGGTTGACGGTGCGCAGCCAGTCCCCCAGCCGTGGGTAGCTGTCCAAGGCCTGAGGCCTCTCTGTCTTCGGCACTTTCTGCTTACACTGCAGCTGCTTACAGATGTACTTCATCAGCTTCACCTGCAGGGGGCAACAGAGAGAAGCACCAACAGAGAAGGGAGGGGCAGGTTAATGTGAGGAGAGGAGTTAGAGCAGCCGTTCTGGCCTGCAGGATATCTACTACTCTTCATTGTGTTGTCAAGTGTGTAGTTTAGTGTGATAGGGAAATATAGTTGAATTGAAACAGCCATGAGCCCACTGGTGCAGCGGTCTAAGGCACTGTATCTCAGCGCTAGAGGTGTCACTACAGACCCTGGTTCGATTCCAGGCTGTATCACAATCCAAATCAAATCCGGACGTGATTGGGAGTCCCGTAGGGCGGCGCACAATTGGCCCAGCGTCGTCCGGGTTTGGCCGGGGTAGGCTGTCATTGTAAATAAGAATTTGTTCTTAACTGACTTGCCTAGTTGAATAAAGGTTACTTTTTTTTTTTTAATGGACAGTGGAAGCATAACTACAGCAATTATGGTATGCATAATGTGTATACACAATTGTTATTTGCGGAAATAGTACACAGAAAACATTAAGTACCAGGGATACATTAATTGAAATGTTAATCATCATTAGTTATGTTCTGATTATATGATGCTGAATTCTTCTCTGTGCGTTATACTTCCATAAAACAATTCCTTGCATATACAAATCATTGAATAACTGATTAACTAAACAGAAGACCTACAATAGAGTGTACATATTAACTGGTAAATGAAAGCCAGAATAAGACAGCCACTGACAATGTCAAGTCATGTTTATAGTATGGGTTCTATGCTGGAGATTTAGCAGATGCAAAGCCCCTTGTCAAATATTGGACAAGGACAAAAAAAAGGAATCCTATAAAACAAACATGGCTGCCCCAGAGACGACGAGGGAGAGTGCTGTTCTGTCTTTTATGTGTGGACTGTCTTAGAACACTGGGGAGATGAAGCAGCACCAGACACACACGCATGCATGTATGCACACACACACACACACACACACACACACACACCATCCTTCTTGAGCTTTCTCCCATAATGTGAGGAGGCGCCAATCTGACACAAATTACTCCAATCACGCAGACACACATTTATTCATTCTACAACATGGCATTTCTCCTCCATCCATGTTCCCACACAGGCAGTCAGAAAAGCAGGGCTGTCAAATAGATATAAATAGCTGTTATTATATGGAAGGGAACAGCGAGCTGGCCTTCTGCACCGCTGGCATGGCAACCAAGTGTCATTTGAACATTGCAGCGGCTGAAGGCAGGGGTATAGTGACATCACAGTTATGAAAGACGCAAAGTTCACAGTGAGGCTAGCAGACCGCCTCTCAGCCATCACATAAAAAATACCCCCCCCAATGGGCTTTTGTTTTTCTAGGCACTAACCCAGGTATCACATTGTTCTTTCATCTGTCAGGACCGTAGGATCCATGTTTTATATAGAAATATGTAATAGGCTGTTCACATAATAAACAAAACAGGGAGGACGCTTACATTGCAGAATGTGTGAAAGCACTCCACCATGATTCTCTACAAACAAACAGAGCGTTGGCTACCACATGAATTTTCCAGCTCTGCAGAGAGGAAGCTGCAGTGAGGCAGGCTGGACACCGAGAGACAGGCAGCTAGGGGTGAGGATCTGCCCCTCACAACCCCCTCCAACTTGCCTCTCTCTCTGTCGTTCTACGTCTCTTGTCCCCTTCTCTTTCTCTCTCCTTCTCTATGTCTCTCTGAGAACAGGTCAAAAATCTCATCAAATCATCAAATCAAATTTATTGGTCACATATACATGGTTAGCAGATGTTATTGCGAGTGTAGCGAAATGCTTGTGTTTCTAGTTCCGACAGTGCAGTGCAATATCTAGCAAGTAATATCTAACAATTCCACACAAAAAAAAACTAATACACACAAATCTAAGTAAAGGAATGGAATAAGAATGATGAGCAATGTCATTATCAAAGTGGCATAGGTTATGATGCAATAGATAGTATAGAATACAGTATGTACATATGAGATGGGTAATGCAAGATATGTAAACATTATTAAAGTGGCATTATTAAAGTGACTAGTGTTCCCTTTATTAAAGTGGCCAGTGATTTTCAAGTCTGTGCTAGTGATGGCTGTTTAACAGTCTGATGGCCTTGAACTAGAAGCTGTTTTTCAGTCTCTCGGTCCCAGCTTTGATGCACCTGTACTGTCCTCGCCTTCTGGATGATAGCGGGGTGAACAGGCTGTGGCTCGGGTGGTAGTTGTCCTTGATCTTTTTGTCCTTCCTGTGACATCGGGTGCTGTAGGTGTCCTGGAGGGCAGGTAGTTTGCCCCCGGTGATGCGTTGTGCAGACCGCACCACCCTCTGGAGAGCCCTGCGGTTGTGGGCGGTGCAGTTGCCATACCAGGCGTTGATACAGCCCGACTGGATGCTCTCAATTGTGCATCTGTAAAAGTTTGTGAGGGTTTTAGGTGACAGGACGCAGCTAGGAATGCCGTCTGGGCCGGCAGCCTTGCGAGGGTTAACACGTTTAAATGTCTTACTCACGTCAGCCACTGAGAAAGAGAGCCCACAGTCCTTGGTAGCTGGCCACGTCAGCGGCACTGTGTTATCCTCAAAGCGGGCAAAGAACTTGTTTAGCTTGTCTGGCAGCATGACGTCGGTGTCCGCGACGTGGCTGGTTTTCCTATTGTAGTCCGTGATTGTCTGTAAACCCTGCCACATACGTCTTGTGTCTGAGCCGTTGAATTGCGACTCCACTTTGTCTCGATATTGACGTTTTGCCTGTTTGATTGCCTTGCGGAGGGAACAAGGTTGTGGCAGCACCATGTTGTGGTGGCTGGTGATGACGCAGGGAGCAGGGCAGTCTGAGGGGAGAGGAGAGAGGATGAGGCCTGACATCAGGGAGGAGGGCTCGCCCGCTGAGACAGCCCTTTCACCAGTGCCCAGGGCAGCAACTTGCTGACGCACAGCACGCCCTGTTACCATGTGGCTGCTGGCCATAAAGCCAGTCATCCTTTTCACTCACACACACACACACACACACACACCCCAACCCTGCCGCCACGCCCCCCCCCAGCCCTCCGTCGCCTGTGTCTGCTAATAATCGCTTTAATGAGTGAAGCCTCAGTCACTGGCATGCCAAGCCAACCTCACCATTCACCACACCCCCCCCTCCACACCAAGTGACATGCCCCCTACCCCCATTACTCTGTTCCCCCTCACCTGATATCTGATGTACTGATAAACATCGCAACATCACAAGCCCTGCTGTGTACCATCCAAACAGCACACCTGACACCGCTGCCCTGGTGGTGATTGTGCAAATGAACACTGGGATATCAAGAGTCTTTGTATGGGACATGACAGTGGAAAAAGAAAACAGATGAGGGACGTGATAAGTTAGTCTGAACATACAGTGGTCTGTGATAAAAATTAAAAAAACACCTCAGAACTTGACCAGAGGATGTCTGAATTCTAAACTAGAGCATTACAACGACTTTAATATAGCAACATTATAAGGACACAGCAGGCTTCACCCCCTACCCCGGCCTTCCCAGACCACTACCAGATACAGCGGTCCTATGAGTAAATCTCACAGCACTGTGGTATTAGTTTGCACTGGCCTTCTCAACTGAGCGCAGCGCTGGGCTCCAGCAGAGTGTCTCCTTATCTCTCTTTCCATCCGAGTGTCCATTACAGCAGGCTGCCTTGAGCTGCAGGCAGCACCACGCCGCATGGCTCTGAAATGACCAGCGCACCACCAGGTATCACTCCACTCTACCCACCAGTCATCTCTCAAGAGCCGGAGCAACAATGAGCAAAGCATGCCTTTTCTCAGCTCTTTCACTCACACACACACACACACACACACACACTTGTAGTACACACCGCACAGAAACATGCTCAGCCACACTTTTCGGCGAGAGAAAATGTGGCCTTGGGATGTAAGAGGCAGCTTGGCTCGGCGGCAGTGGTTAACAAAGGCCTCTCCACTGCAGGCGAGAGGAGACAGTAGGAGAGAGAGAGAGCGAGAGAATAGAGGAAGAGAGAGAAAAGCAGAGTGGGCATCTGGATGAGGACCTGAGGAGGGGTCAGGTCAGGTGCGGGGGTGGGTGAGGACAGGGCACATATTAACACCTCACCCTGGGCCAAGGGGCTCTCCATAGACCACTCCAGCTCATCTCCAGCTCCTTGGCTGCCATTTGCCAAGTGCTAAATTGTACTGAGTGCATAGATTGCCCTCCTCAATAAGTTCAATTTCCATTCTTCCCTTGGTCACGTGACTGGAAGAAAGAAACACGGTCTATTTGGTAATTGAATTAACTGAAAAAGTGTGCTAAGGAGGGTTGACTTGAAGAAAACTTGATATGAACTGTTTAAAGAACTGATTGAGTCTCTACTTGACACCAACAAACGCCCCATAATATCTGGCCCTCTGCCCTCCCTAAATCGTGGCATTGAACGTTTCAGCAGACTTTTAGCCCTCCATAACTGGCTACGAGACTTTTGCAGCTCTGTGGGTGTAACATGTATTGACAATTTTGATAACTTCTGGAAACAAAGCTCGTATTATACGGAGGATGGGATCCACCCAAATCATTTGGGTTCCTGGATCCTTTCATTGCATTATAAGGCTGAGTTGAGACAATGACATATCAATGACCCAAATACAGCTCATTTAATCCCTACCATTGTGTCGCAAATGTACATTATCCTAGGGGCGTTGGAAGACACAATGTAAACAACCTAATTTATGTCTCTCTTCCTGCCCGGAATGCCTCTGCTGATCCTACACCTATTATACGCAGTAATCATATGCCTATGAACCAGAGTAATACTGTTAGCACTGAGGTGGTGTACCCTAGTAGGAAGTCCACTGTGTGCAGCTCACCCTGCACTAATAAAAATAACCTGAGTATGTCTACCTCTGCTAAGCTTCCTAGTAAAGCAAGAAAAATAATCAAGCATCCCAGAAAAGTGTTAAAAATAGCCCACGTTAACATATGTAGCTTTAGAAACAAGGTTAATGAAATCAATAATTTGCTA